AGTTAAATGCAGAATTCTGTAGTCTCATATGTTAGCAGACGCCATCCTTATCTAATACATGCAAGACTCTGGCATAGCATTATCATATGCTGAAATGCATATTTATCTTGTTGTAAGGCAGTAGACATTACTCAGCAGCTATAGCCCAAAAGTGTTACCCTCTCAGTACTCTCAAAAGTAGAATGTCTATCCAGAGCCTTAACTTAGTTTCCTAAAAAATAATGGGAGACATGGTTTTACAACATGGATTTTGGGGGTTGGACCTATGGTTCAAATGATAGAATATTTGCCTCACAAGCGTAAGACCCTTAGTTCAAACCCAGCTGCTACCAAAAAACAAATAAGAACTGATACAAAACCAAGATATGGTAAACAAAGGAGGAGGCTGCAATGCTTGATAAGAAATGTACTCACTATCTTGCCCATGTAATTGTAACCCCTCTGTACAGTATGTTCACAAAAAAAAAAAAAAAAACAAGATATATGTCTAAAGTGTAATTTTAGGTGATTGAGTAACTTCTTTTCCAGTAATACCAGAAAGTAGTCCATAGAATAAATAGCTAGGAAAACTCATTCATCCATGCATTTTAAAAAGTGCAGAAATTATAAGTGTAGAATTCAACTAATATCCAGTAACCTGCCTCAGTAACCTCCCAAATGAAGAGGTGAAATACTTATCCGTACTACTGTTAATGAGCATTTGACTTTGTGTTTAGAAACTGTTATGGTCCGTGCTTTTGTGATCATTCCTGAACATTGTCTTGGAGGAATTAGTTCTCATCCCTGTTTACTGTATGTGGGAATGTAAAAGCTGGGTCATAAAGTGTCTGTTAGCTTTAGTAGACACTACCATGTTTCCAACAGGTCTGAATCAATTCATACTTTACTAGCAGCTTGTGAGTTGCACTTCTACATCCTAACCACTGGTGTTTAGTCCTGAATTGAATTTGATGTAAGATTACAGAGACTGTAGTCCTTTTCCTTTGTCTATTGGCTGTTTATATTTTGTATAGTTAGATCTTTTATACTTTGGCTTTAAGCTTTTTCATAAGCTTACTTTTTTTTGCGGGGGGGGGGGGGGGGCAGGTTCCGGTTGTGGGACCTGAACTCTGGGCCTGGGCGCTGTCCCTCAGCTCTTCAGCTCAAGTCTAGCGCTCTACCACTTGAGCCATGGTGCCACTTAACGGCTTTTTTTTTTTCTGCTTATGTGGTGCTGAGGAATCGAACCCAGGGCCTCATGCATGCAAGGCAAGCACTCTACCACTGAGCCACCTTCCCAGCCCTTCATAAGCTTACTTTTAAAAATAGAGTAACTAAGTGGCGCTGTAGCTCAAGTGGTAGAGCCCTCGCCTTGAGTTGAAGAGCTGAGGGACAACGCCCAGGCCCAGAGTTCAAGCCCCACGACCGTCAAAAAACAAAAACAAAAAAACTATATAAAAATAGAGTAACTTTTTCATGTATGGACATTCTTTTATTTTTTTTTTTTTTGCCGGTCATGGGGCTTGAACTCTGGGCCTAGGTGCTGTCCCTCAGCTCTTCAGCTCAAGGCTAGCTTTACCACTTAAGCCACAGCGCCACTTCTGGTATTTTCTGCATATATGGTGCTGAGGAATCAAACACTCTACCACTGAGCCACCTTCCCAGCCCAGTGTGTGAACATTCTTAATGAAAAGGCTAGCTAGTTTTTCCCAGTGACTCCTTTGGAATAAACACGTTATTTTTCTCAAAAACAACTTCTGAGAGCTTTATCCCAAAAATGTGTCTTATATTAACTTAATAAACAAGAGGATACCTTAAGTAAAATATTCCTTTCAGGATATTTGATAAGAACAACAACAGAACTAATAATAAATAACAGTTAAAATAGCTTTGGAAGGGTTGGGGATTTAGCTCAGTGGAAGAGCACTTGTTGCCTGGCAGGTGCAAGGCCCTGAGTTCAGTCCTTAGTTCTAGTGGAGGTTGGTGGGGGGAAGAAGGAAACAGCTTTTGGAATAGATTTTTGCTTTTTTGGTTTTATGAATTCTGGTTGTTAATCAGAATCAGCTTTTAATTATTAAAACATTGCTAAAAATAGTAAGAGATAATTTAGAAGAAGAACGTGGCTTAAACCGAACTTGAAAATTTTTGGTCGGTCATGGGGCTTGAACTCTGGGCTTGGGCTCTGTCCCTGCACTCTTCAGCTCAAGTCGAATGCTCTACCGCTTGAGCCACAGCGCCACTTCCGGTTTTCTAGTGGTTTTTATTGGAGATAAGAGTCTCCCGGACTTTCCTGCCCAGGCTGGCTTTGAACCTCGATCCTCAGATCTCAGCCTCCTGAGTAGCTAGGATTATAGGCGTTAACCACCAGCGCCTGGCTTTTGAAAATTTTTATCTGTGTAAATATGGACAGTTTTTTCTTGGATATAGAATAATTTAAACTCAGGATTTTTTTTTTCAAGTTAAAAAAGTATCACCTTACAGTTTTATAAATGTGCTTTGTAAAGTTTCAGTGGCATCAGATTGTACTGTAGGTGTGACAGTCCCAGGGAAAAAAGTAAACATTTTCCAGTCTATTTTGTAACTGAAGTAGCATCACAAAATAGATGTTCTTAATAAGAGCTGCAGGACAGTAAAAGGTAGGACCCCACTGCCACCATGTGAAGAGGCGAATGCAGGCCCCACGACCAACCAAAAAAAAAAAAAATCCCAACCATTACATTTGCTTTGGAATCACTAAGAATCAAAAGATGATAAATATAAACATCCCCTTCCTCTTTCTTGGTAGTGTGGGCAACCCAAAATAACTTACATCGCTGTGATTTTAGGTGTTTCACTAATTGTGAAAATGAAGTTGTTTTCTATTTGTTTTTCTGAAAACAAAGCCTAATTCTTCAAACTGTTCATCATGTAAGTGGTCAAATCACTTTTTTTTATTTTAAACAGTCTTGTTTAGCAGGGAACTCATTACCCTCACAGTACTTTGTCTGCTAAATTAGCAAATCAAAACTAAACAGCCATCACCAAAGTCCCCCACCACAACCTGCTTGAAGGATTTTCGCAGTTAGGAACTGCAGAGACAGATGCTTAGCCCGTGCCTGGTGAACAGTTTAGCTGCAATAAAAACAAATGAGACCTACAGAGGGGGTGCTATGGGAACCTACTGATCAGACCTTAAGGAGAGTCACTATACCCTAAGTAGCAGGTCTATTGGGGGAATGTGTCTGTTCAGGATATTGGAAACCTGTGATGAGTTTACAGGGTTCATCTGTTCCCAAAGAGCAGATTTTATTGACAGCTTCACTTTTGGTTATGATGTCCTTCTTGATGTCTGCTGTGTTACCTGTGTTTTAAATATTTTTTCTTTCTTTTAAGTGAATCATTTTATAGGTGGAAATAAAAAAAATTGCGGATGACAAAATCTCATAAAGGAGATCTAATCATTACTTAGGAATGTAGAGATTTATAATTCAATTTATTGAATTTTTCATTAAGGTCTCAAACCAAAACTGGCAAGCACCAGAAGGACATGCACATGGCAGGCACTGATGTCTCACACCTGTAATCTTAGCTACTCAGGAGGCAGAGATCTGAGGGTCACACTTCTAAGCCAGCCCAGGCAGGAAAGTGTGTGAGACTTCTCTCTCCATTAAACTACCAAAAAAGCCAAAGTAGAGCTGTGGCAAATCTTATTAGAGTGCTGGCCTTGAATACAAAAAAATCAGGGAGAGTACCCAAGCCCCGAGGTTAAGCCCCAGGACTGGCACACAAAGAAAAGTAAGTTTGTGGAATATATACAATTACCCTTCTGTTTCTTGGGTTTGGAAGCTGAAAATACTAGATACTTACTGCATATAGAACTTTATGCTTGAGATCTCACTTTTTAAGTGCTTTACTCTGTGCTGTTGAGGTGAAGAAAGCCAAGTTGGCCTCCTAAAAATCAGATAGAAACAAGCATAAGGCTAAACATAGTACTACATTATTTTGAAGGGCAATTTCCCTCCCCTACCCTCCCCTCCCCTTCCATCCCATCCCCTCCCCTCCTTTCTGCCGGTCCTGGGGCTTAATTAAACTCAGGGCCTGGGCTCTGTACCTGAGCCTCTCTGTGCTCAAGGCTAGCACTCTACCACTTGAGTCATAGCACCACTTCTTGCCTTTTCTGTTTAAGTGGTACTGAGGAATTGAACCCAGGGCTTCATGTATGCTAGGCAAGCACTCTACCATTAAGCCACTTTCCCAGCCCAATTTTATTTATTTCTTTAACTTTTTTCCTTTCTTTGTTTTTGCCGGTCGTGGGGCTTGGACTCTGGGCCTGGTGGCTGCCCCTCAGCTCTTCAGCTCAAGGCTAGCGCTCTACCACTTGAACCACAGTACCACTTCTGGCTTTTTTCTGCTTATGTGGTGCTGAGGAATCAAACCCAGGGCCTCATGCATTCAAGGCAAGCACTCTACCACTGAGCCACCTTCCCAGCCCCCAATTTTATTTATTTCTTAATGAAGGTGGTGAATGTTCTTCCATGAACTTGTTCAAGTGACACTGATTATGAAGTATCAGTATTTGTCTTTCTTATTTCCCTTTGGTTAATGTTGGAAATTTATTGATTAGGTTGAATCCTGCCCTAAGGCCTTAGTAAAAAAGCTGTGATTTATAAAGTCACAGCATAATGAAAAAAGTGATAATGGAGAGCTTTGGGCAGACTGTGTAATGCATATTAGGCAATCTCCAAAGGTTGGCTTATTTTGTTGTTTTTATCAGAATAGTTACTTGTAAGAGTAGGATCCCTCGAACAACTTGGAGCAAATCTTGCTTCTGCTTTTGAAAATAGGCTCACATTTCTTCTTAAAGTCCAAACCATTCCTGTAAAGGGTAACAGCTTTTTACTGTCCTCTTTAGTCAATAAAAGGTGATAGTTAAATATGGTCTTAACTAGTTCCTTTCTACTTTTCCTTGAATACCATATTGGCTACCAAAGCATACACCCATACCCTTCCTGCCACCTTGGAACCAGTTCAAGATTTGGAGAGAAGAGTTTGTTTGGGGGTGTTTCCCTTTTCTTATCTCTCAATGAGCAGATGTTAGGGTTGAATTTATTTTGACCCTTCCATTTAAATTGGAACTGAAGCAAGAGTTTAAAGTACATCAGAAGAAAGTACTGAACTTTAAACATGCGTGATCCGAGGAGGATGGTGCGTACTGCATTCTCAGCCATTCTAGAACTTTCTCAGAGGTGACATCTTCATGTATAGGGAGACCTATAAGCTAACAGCCACTGCTTAAAAAGAAAATACTTTAAAACTATGTAAAGATCTCTGGCATTTGAATTGTGTTTGTATGTTTCACTGTACCAGTATTGCCTCTCGTATTCATGTTTTTGAAATTGATGTCAGAATAAGGTTAGAATTTTATTTGAAGACCTTAGAAGGGTGGGTATTTGCAAAGAAAAAGTATATCATTTGTGATTGATCTTCAAGGGAATTACAACATTGTAAGCTTTCTGTCGTTTTTGTCTTCTAAAGAATACAATTAAAGAGAGCTACAGATGGTTATTAGATAAAAGCTATCTAGCATCAATAAGAAGTAATTCTCTTCTTCATTGAGTATTGCTTATCTTTGCCCAGAATGCCTTGGATAGATGGTAGGCTTGAATGACTTATTTTTGACTGATCTTTTCCAGAGCCTGGCCCAACTAGAGAATCTGTGCAAACAGCTATATGAAACAACAGATACAACCACTCGACTTCAGGCAGAGAAAGCCTTGGTTGAATTCACCAACAGCCCGGATTGCCTGAGCAAGTGCCAGCTGCTCCTTGAGAGAGGAAGTGTACGTAAGATTTGACAAGTCCTGGAGAAAGGCCGAGGCTTAGGGGAAGTACTGTGTTTCTACACTTCAGGGATCAAACTGTACAGTCTCTTGATCCTTCTAGAAGTCACTGCTTTTACTATTTCATCTGTCAAGTTAGGAAGAAAGCCATGTGGTCCAATCAGGAAAATCTCTATACAATGTATGTCTGTCCTGGTAGTTGTTAAGCTTTCACCCAAGTTCAAAGTTTCACTCTCTGTTTTTAATTCTTAAGTGTCACCTCTGTCTGTTACAGAAGATAAAACTTTATGTAAATCACATTTCCTACCCAAAGTCTTTATCACTGTACAAATTCTCCCATCTTCTCTGCTTTTCCTACTCCACTTGCTATTCATTGCTTTAAAAGTCTAGGAGAAAATGGCTTTGACAATGAAAATTATTGGTAGTTGAGATTTTAGAATTCCTTACAGGTTAAAAATGGCATTGGAATAACCAAAGTTCTACTTCTAACAAAATGTAATTTAATGTAATTACTGTTTGGGGCAAGGTGCAGGTCTTAAAAGAACCTGTCAGTGCCATGAAAAGGCAAGGAGGGTCAGAATCCCACCTAGAGGTTAACAAATAGTGCCAGCCTTCTTTCAAAAAGTCACAACAGAATTGACTATCTCCTTTTTATGAACAGATGACTTTTTAGGGTTATCTACCTATATTACTCGTTTCACAGAAGAATTCAAGAAAAAGTACAGCTTACTATAATTATCACTGTGGTGAAGGTGAAAATAGAAATGATAATGAAGAATTGTGTCTTAAACAGCAATGTATACCCCTAAAGAATTCATACATAAAAATTTACTCTCCAGAGAATATCCTTTAGACTGATAAGAATTATGAAGAAGTAGAAGAGCTTAATTAGTTAAGAAAATAGAATTCTAAATTATTTTTTAGTTAAGTATTACACACATGACCACTCCTCCCTCCCTCCTTCCCCCAGTTGTGGGGCCTGGGCACTGTCCCTCAGCTCTTCAGCTCAAGGCTAGTGCTCTACCACTTGAGCCACAGCACCACTTCTGGCTTTTTCTGCTTATGTGGTGCTGAGGAATCAAACACAGGGCCTCAGGCATGAAAAGCAAGCGCTCTACTACTGAGCCACCTTCCCAGCCCTATGTATTTCTTTTAGATCACTCAATAGATCAGCTCTTAGAGTTGACTCCTTCCTGCTTCTGGAATGCACGTATAGGCTTGATACCAAGTTTGTTTTATACCTGGTAGTATTTGGTAACATTAACATAAATGGATAGCCAGTTGTCTTTAGGACTTTTAATTTTGTTACTAATTATCCTTAACCTTTGATTAGATTATTTTCAGTGGTGCAAGTCTATTCCTGATATATAATTTATCTAATCCATGTAGGAATGTTTACGTGATTCCTTCTTACACATTATGGCCACATAGAACATTATGGTGCTCTATGAAACTAAAAAGAATTTTTTTTGAGACTTTTTAAAGTTTTTAAATCTACACTTGAGAATAAGATAATGTTGTTCCATTGCTCAGGATATTAATTTTCTTTTCCACAAATAATTGTTTTGAAATTTACTACAAAACTGTCATATATTTCCCAGATCTAGAGCTGATAACTGTGCCTTTGGAAAGATAAAATTTGGAGATTAACTGTGCAGCATAATGTGGTAATTCCTCTAATATTTCCTTTTTTCTTCCTTTCTAATACCATATTACAGGAATATTTTAAAGTGAAAGTTTTTGAGACATCATTGTTAGATGTGAGTGACAGACCTTGTGACTGACTGAGTCCTTTTTACCTTTTTCACAGTCATCTTACTCCCAGTTATTAGCAGCTACATGCCTTACCAAGCTTGTATCACGCACAAACAACCCCCTACCATTGGAACAGCGAATAGATATTCGTAAGTACAGAATCTTCTGTTCTATCTTGAAGAAATTAGATTGTTTAGTGCTCTGGTAGTATTAGTTAAGTGTATGTATGTGGTAATGTACTTAAAATTGCTGAGCTTACAGACTATCTAATACATAGTTTTTTCCACAGTGTTGGACATAGAAATTTAGCCAGTTAGGGATGTACTTTAGATTCTCTGTTACGACAGTTTAAAATTCTGAACTTGAAAGTCTACCAATAATCTTAAATTTGGTATCCCGTTTCTCAGTAGCATATAGAAAATAATTTAAAGGGTCAAGAGTAGGTAGTTGACATTTGTCATTCTTTTGCTGATTATTATATTTAAATACATACACTCTTTATCTGGCAGGGTTCTCCATCATGTGAACTATTTTTGTCTTTCAGGGAACTATGTGCTCAACTATCTTGCCACGCGGCCAAAGTTGGCTACTTTTGTGACACAAGCTCTTATTCAGTTATATGCCAGAATCACAAAACTAGGATGGTTTGATTGTCAGAAGGATGACTATGTCTTCAGAAATGCAATCACAGATGTCACAAGGTTTTTACAGGTATGTATGGTTGATATACTAGTAGTGGGAGAAGCAACATAAATTTGTACGGTGATTATCTCTTTTTTTTAAGTTACATAAAATGGAATTACTTGTTATGTTCTCTTCTGCATTTTTTAACCTTGCCCATTCTTTGGAAAATGTTTTCATACTATTCCAAGATAAAATATCTTTTTGGATTTTAGTTTTCGATTTTTATTTTAGTACTGGAGATTGAACTCAGAGTTTTGCACTTAAAATACCTTAATTTAGGTGGTCACGCCTTAATATCTTAATAAATAATACCTTAATAATATAAAAATACCTTAATTTAATAGCAATCCTAGCTACTCAGGAGGCTGAGATCTGAGGATCAGAGTTCAAAGCCAGCCTGGGCAGGAACATCTGTGAGACCCGTATCTCCAAAAAACCTGAAGTTGAGCTGTGACTGAAGTGGTAGAATGTTTGCCTTGAGCAAAAAAACTTAGGGATCGCCTAGGCACTGAGTTATAGCCGAGGACCAGCCAGGAAAAAATAACCTTAATTGACTGATAACCTATAGGTGAACACTTTTTTTTTGGTCTGTTAAATGCTTCAATAAAAATCCCAGCACATATATCTTGTCAGACTTTGAATAATTGTATTTGTAGGGTAGAGTCCTAGCCTTGGAATTATTCAGTCATTTTTATTTTCCCAGGTCAATAGGCAAAAAAAAAAAAAAAATGGTATCTGGTTTGAGGTATGAATGAAACAGGACAAAAAAAATTTTTTTTGAGACAGGACAAGTTTTTATCTGTTAATTTACTACTTGTATTTATTTTTCAGTGAACTTCTTCCTTATATCTTATGCATATTTTTCCCCATAAATCTTGGCCTTTTCTTATTGTTGTGTGTAGTCTCTGTAAAATATACAACTGTATCTTGCAATTTATCTTTTAATGATAATGAAAGATACTATAATAACACTTATAGAAACTTTCAGAATGTGAAATTTTTACTTGTTGATAAGGTAAGCTTTAGCAGTCACTCTTTGTGGCAGTTGTCCTGCAAAACAGAAGGTTTATAGTAAAATTCATTGCTGCCTTATCAAGGCAGTTTTATTAATGACACAGGAGTTTTTTATTCAGGACTAGGTGTCTTCAAGTGTTGAAATAAGCACACGTCAGTTCTTTCCTCTGTACATTTTTCCTTTCAGGACAGTGTTGAATACTGCATCATTGGCGTCACAATTTTATCTCAGCTGACCAATGAAATTAATCAAGTAAGTGCTACAGCCTTCCTCATTGAAGTAAGTGACATAATTTTTCTTAAGTCTTGGTGTTTCTGCTATGTGTGGGATGATCTTTTTTGGCAGTTGTGTGCTTTTGCGGTAAGTGATTGATGCCCTTTTGAAACTAGTTCCATTGAGTTTTCCTCTGTAAGTGCAACCCTCCTCCTTCTCTTTGTCCTGGTCCTTTGGGAAATATTTACCCTCCCATCTCAGCTTTCCTTATTGGTGTTAATGTTCATTATAGAGATGAGAGTGGCTATAAGTGAAAATCATAGTGAAATATTGTCTTGCTGATAAAAGAACAATTCCAAAACAATCATAAAAGTGGAACCAGCATCATTTCTGTACCCTTTCTGTTCCTATACACATTAATGTATATTAGTCATTTAAAAATTAGTTCCTATATACTACTAGTAAATATTTTGTTAGTAATCTTTTCAAAGAACATGAAACATTCTGCTAAATACCACCTAATTTTTTAAATAATCAGTACTGTGACACTGCACTGCAGAGGAAACACCAGTGGCATTTTGTTTTGGTGTAATTTTTGCTTGTGCTATTATATTTTCAATGATTTACTTTTATATCCATCTAAAATTCTATAATTATTATGCAAGTCATTACTAGTTGTAACATCTCACCCTCAAGTTACCAGCATTAATAATATTTGCTTTAATGTTGCTATTGCTTATAATTATGCAAGCATTTTATTAACATAGTATTCTTTTAATGCAGTAGCTTACAGCTTATTAAAATCTGGAGTTCTTGCTGTATTCTCTGTTTATGCAATCTCCATTGTGATCAATCATTATCAAAATAATAGGTTGAACTTTTGAATTATCACAGGCTCCCTTATATAAGCACTTTACTTTTTGTTTTTTTGGTGGTCATGGGCTTGAACTCTGGGCCTGAACGCTGTCCCTCAGCTCAAGGCTAGCACTCTTACCACTTGAGCTACTGCACCATGTCCATCCAGTTTTCTGAGTGGTTTATTGGAGATCAGAGTCTCATGGACTTTCCTGCCTGGGTTGGCTTGGAACCAGGATCCTCAGATATCAGCCTTCTGAGTGGCTAGTATTACAGGCGGGAGCCACTGGAGCCCGCTTTACTTTTATCACTGATTTTATTCTCACAATTATCCTGTGAGGTCGGTATTGTGGTTATCCCTTTTTCTGGATGAGGAAACTTAGATAGAATGAGTGGTAGCTAAATAATTTGCTTACAGCTTCACCATTAGTAAAACAGTGTCTGAATTCAAACACAGTCTTATTTCACAGCCTGTTCTCCTAGCATGAAACCACTAGTACTTGTGTAGTAGGAAAGAGTACATTAACTAAGTACAGAAACTGTGAGCTTACTGTTCTCTTCTTGAAAGCTTGTCTCTCCCAAAATGCATGGATATTGATAGGAAAAGAAAACCTTTTCAGGATTTTATTTCTCTTTCTTGAGGAAGTGGTGAAAATGTCTGTCATACATAGTTATTGTATAAATTATTATCAGTATTATAATGATACCTAATATATAATCTTCGTTATTTTTGGTTGTCAAATTCAAATCAGAAAGTATATTTCTACCACTGTTACTATTAAACTTAGAAACAAAATCAAGGAAGACTTGATTTGATCTCAAAAATCTTGCTCAGGGCTGGGAAGGTGGCTCAGTGGTAGAGCGCTTGCCTTGCATGCATGGGGCCCTGGGTTCGATTTCTCAGCACCACATAAGCAAAAAGAAGTGGTGCTGTGGCTCAAGTGGCAGAGCGCTAGCCTTGAGCTGAAGAGCTGAGGGACAGTGCCCAGGCCCAGAGTTCAGGCACCATGACCGGACCCCTCCCCTTTCCCCCCCCCCCCCCAAAAAAAATCTTGCTCATATTCTTTAATATGGAAAAAGTAAAATTAGCATTCCTTTGGATGAACTGATCATTAAATAGAAGACATGTAAGTTTTCAGTGAATGGTTAAAAAATACACTGGATAATTTTGAAATTCTTGTTTTTAAAAAAAGCGTTTTACAAACTTTACAACTTTGGCGGGGGGGGGGGGGGGGGAGAGGACAGTTGTGTAGGAGGGAGAAAAGGGATGGTAAGGGAAAAACAAAGGAGTAGGCAACAATGCTCCATAAGAAATGTACTCATTACCTTGCTCGTGTAACTGTAACCTCTCTCTACAGTATTTTTAAAATAAAAACATACAAATAAAGGGGGGGAGGTTATTTTATTTATTTATGCCAGTCCTGGGTACTGTCCCCTGAGTTGGTCAAGGCTAGCACTCTGGCTTTTTATGTTTGTTTATGTGGTACTGAGGAATTGAACCCAGGGCTTCATGCATGCAAGGCAAGCACTCTACCACTAAGCCACATTCCCAGCCCTTGAAATTCTTTTATTCCATTTCTTGATGCCTACTATATGTTAAAAATAGATAGCATACTAATGACAAACAATTTCATCCTTAATCACAAAAATAAAAAAAAAAAACTCCATTAAAAGACAAAATAAGGAATGAATTAGATATTATAGACCATTTAAACTTAAGTTCTCACTTCCACTGTGTATAGAGAATATGTTGAAATAGCTAAGAAAAAGAGAGTATTACAGACTGTTGTCATTTAACTGCCATGAACTTACATGGCTTACTATTTTGGAAAATCTATAACAACTTCATTCCTGAGTGGTTTGTTTACCAAAATCCAACCTTTGTAACTATGTCTGGTTTTGTGACTAAGTCACAATGTGACATAACAATAATTACTAGCAGTGTCTTCTACTAATTTAAATTTTACTTCCCTAAGTACAGAAAAAAAATTAAATGTGAAGCAAAAATATTCATCCCTCCTTTTGTTTGTCCTCTGTAAACTAGAGAAAACTGAGATCCTGGCCAGTTGGGAGCTGCATCTTCTCACTAGATATGATTTAGCAGTAAATTTAAGCTTTAAAAATATGCTTTGTATTTATCTTGCATTTATTGAAATCTTTTCTGGTTTATTTGAAGACTACATGAAGAATTCTTGCCTTGCTGTTAATGCTTGTCTTGCTGTAACTTGGATTGGCCTCTTCTTTTTTATACAGGCAGACACCACCCATCCTCTAACCAAGCACAGAAAAATAGCCTCTTCTTTCCGTGATTCATCATTATTTGATATCTTCACACTTTCCTGCAATTTACTAAAACAGGTAGGATTGTATGTTGGATCATGATTCCCAGTTCCTTTTGAAGCCTGAAATGGTTAGGAATTCACTAGGGGTTATGCCGTGAACACTAATTAGTCATCCTTATTTCTAAAAATAAATATCTAAAAGTATAAAGTCAGCCAGGTTAACTATTGAGTTAGGAAAAGGATTGTGGTTTCTTCACTTAAAAATGTTCCTCCAGGTAAAGAACAGTAAATGAACACTCAGCTCATCCTCCTGTCTTAAGGAACCTAGTTTACCACAAAGTTAGAAATCTGCTGTCGTATTTTATAACCACATAAAATCTCTATTCAGAATGAAAGCATGTTAGCTTAATGGTATTTGGATTCTTAGCGTTTAGAAACAGGTTCAGAGTACTACATTGTTATACAAAACTAGGTTGACTCCTCTATTTCCTGCTGAGTTAAAAGTAGCAAATAAACAAGTAACATCTGTAAGAAAGTAGATTTTGAGTTTTTAACATCCATTTAGATTTAATAACCTGAAGGGGTAGACAGAATCACATCAGGAAATTGCCTGTTTTGAAGTAGACAGTTGTTTTCAGTTCATTTATTGATAGAGTTGAAGCAGGCAGCAAATACAATCTAAGAGTCCTATGCATTTATACCTATGTTTTAATGCTTTGTCCCTTTTGAAAGTTAAATGGGATTAGTCTGGCTTTCTGTGTACTTCTATGGGGGCTTTTTCGTTTTTCTTATTTTCTAACATTTCCCAATTTTAATTTCAGAAGCAAGTTTGCTCCCATTAATGATTCCCATCATTTATCCAATTATTTAGTTTTACTTCCGAATCCCTATATATGGTCTTTGGATTGGTCCAGGGTACCTAGCAAAGCTGTTTCACCCCCTTGGGAAAATAGCTTTTGAGAAAACAAAAAATCAAGTCCTCCTCACTGATGCTGTCAGAAATAGATGATGAGCAGTCACTGAGGCAGTCTCTGAGAACTGCCTGGTAGATTCTTGAAATGTACAGTCCAAGTTGATATAGGCTAGTTTTCAGCTGTAATCTGCAGATACACTGCCGGAGAATACATTCAATGATAATCTTGTTTACATTCTAGCTATAAAATTCTTTTATAATAGCTCAGGGACAGGGCTGGGAAGGTGGCTCAGTGGTAGAGTGCTTTCTTGCATGCATGAGGCCCTGGGTTCGATTCCTCAGCACCACATAAGCAAAAAGAAAAAAAGCTCAAAGTGGTGCTGTGGCTCAAGTGGTAGAGCGCTAGCCTTGAGCTGAAGAGCTGAGGGACAGTGCCCAGACCCAGAGTTCAGGCCACACGACTGACAAAAAAAAAGCTCAAGGACAGCACCCACACCCTGAGTTCAAGCTCCATGACCAACAGAGAGAAAGAGAGAAAAAAGGAAAGGAAAGAAGAATTGTGTACCCATGCCTCATGCCTATAATCCTAACTACTCAAAAGATTAAGATCTGGAGGATCATGATTTGAACCTGGGACAGACTAGTCTATGAAACTCTTATCTCCAAAACAACCAGCAGCAAAAAAGCAGGGCCAGAGCCATAGCTCAAGTGGTAGAGTGCCAGCCTAGCAAACAGGCAGGAGGAGGCTCTGGGTGGGTTCAAATCCCTTAAGTGCCCCTCCTCAAATAAGGAGTAGGGTTGAACTTCCTTAGAAGTCCCTCCAGAGTTTCGTCTTAACCTTATACAAAAACTATACATACAATCTCCCACCAATTCTGGTTTTTTGTTTTTGCCTAATCAATTGTGGGGCTTGAACTCAGGGTGTGGGCACTCAAGGCTAGCACTCTACCAGTTTGAGCCACAGTGCCATGTACAATTTTTCTGTGGGTTAATTGGAATAAGTCTCACAGGCTTTGCTACCCAGGCTGGCTTTGAAGTGTGATCTTCAGATCTCAGCCTCATGAGTAGCTAGGATTATAGGTGTGAGCCACCAGCGCCCAGCATCTTCCACCTTCTTAAACTCATAATGCTTTTAGAATTCTCTATGGCCATTATGTCTATAACATGTAAAGAAATAAGTGTCAAAAGGATAAATTTCTTTTTTTATAGTAAATGGGCGTTAATAGTAAAAAGGAGGATAGGTATATTCATCGTAATACTGAGGTTCTTTTTTAAAGGGGGACAAAAAACATTTTAATGTGCTAAAATGTAGCCCTCCTTTTCTGGCTTTAACAGCCTGCTCGTGAATCTGGGAATAATCTGGGAAGAGAAGAACCAATTGTTTGGTATTTACTGTGGCAATTTTTCAGGCTTCAGGAAAGAATCTGAACTTGAATGACGAAAGTCAGCATGGCTTGCTCATGCAGCTGCTCAAACTTACCCACAATTGCCTGAACTTTGATTTCATCGGCACATCTACTGACGAGTCCTCAGATGACCTGTGTACAGTACAGATACCCACCAGCTGGAGATCAGGTAACAGAGAGCCTACAAACTTAAATATGCCTGCTACATGTCCATAAGATAATGCAAAGAACCCTGGTGATCACTTACTTACTTTGGGAGAGAGCTTAGAATTTTAATACCTGTCTTCCTAATTGGAGAGGTTGTTAGAGAAATCTTACAGATCCCCCAACCAGGGAGAACTCTTTAATTACTGAGTAATAAGTATATCTTGTTTCTTTGTATGAGTTGCACAAGAATCTGTTATCTACTTGTTTAGGATAGTATCTGTTCTTGAAAATCAAAGCCCATAGAAGACACCCATGACTCACATCTGTGATCCTTGGTATTCAGGAGGCTAAGATCTGGATAAACATAGTTAAAAGATAGAGTTAGTTGGGCAGGAAAATTCACTAGGCTCCCATCTCTCAAGTAGGTAACAAAACATCTGGGGTGCAGGCATAGCAAGCCTAGCAAATTGGAGCCCTGTGTTCATCTAGGCAACTTAAGCCTTATGTCAAAACATATATATTGTAGATGTAGCTCAGAGAGCACTGCAAGGCCCTGGATTCAATCCTCAGTACTGGGAGAAAAAAAGTATGTGTGTGTACGCATGCGTGCGTGTGTGTGTGTGTCTAAATAACTTGAACTTAACGTTTATGTTCCTGTTCCAAATGACAGAAGTGTAAAATTAAAGTTCTAAATATCTGAAGGATGAATCTCTTTCTTAGAAAAGCTAAAATTCGCGCTTTAAAAATTAAAAAAGGAGGGGCTGGGAATGTGGTTCAGTGGTAGAGTGCTTGCCTTGCATGCATGAGGCCCTGGGTTCAATTCCTCAGCACCACATAAGCAGAAAAAGCCAGAAGTGGCACTGTGGCTCAAGTGGTAGAGTGCTAGCCTTGAACTGAAGAGCTGAGGGACAGCGCCCAGGCCCAGAGTTCAGGACCAACAACAACAACAAAAAAAGCTCAGGGACAGTGCCCAGGACCTGAGTTCAAGCCCCAGGACTGGCGCAAAAAAAAAAAAAAAAAAAGTAGAAAAGGAAAACAAAATCCTCCACTAATTTATTGTTTTCCAAGGAAACAGACATTCTGTAAGATAAGCACAAAATTAAGTTATCTAATGTAAAATGAAGGAAGAATGCTAGCAGCTCTGTAGACTGAAAAAACTTATTTTTGTTTGTTTTCCTAGCATTTTTAGATTCTTCAACTCTACAGCTGTTTTTCGACCTGTATCATTCCATCCCTCCTTCATTTTCACCTCTGGTAAGTCAGAACCACAGCTTCTGAAGTAAAGATATTTCTAGAAAATAGCAATAGTGGATGAACTTTATGTGCACTTTGTTTTATAAATCATAGAAATAGCACATAGACATATACTTGAGGTTAGTCACCTGGCTGGTAAGATTAAGTTTACAACCTAAAAGGTTGTAGCAAGCCGGGCGCTGGTGGCTCACGCCTGTAATCCTAGCTACTCAGGAGGCTGAGATCTGAGGATCGCAGTTCAAAGCCAGCCCGGGCAGGAGAGACCCGTGAGACTCCTATCTCCAATAAACTACCAGAAAACCGGAAGTGGCACTGTAGCTCAAGTGGTAGAGCACTCACCTTGAGCTGAAGAGCTGAGGGACAGCGCCCAGGCCCAGAGTTCAAGCCCCACGACCGACCAAAAAAAAAAAAAAAAGGTTATAGCAATAAAGTCTTCATTCTTTTTCAGTGATTGCTTTCTGGGGATTTCTGCAGATGGCCCAGCTCTCCCATCTTTTGTCTCCAAATCACAGTGATTACTATAGGCTGAGGTGGAGGTTGCCTTATACTGTCTAACTGAACCACCCAGATTTTCCAGATTGAGGAAAAATTTTAAATTCTTTAGGCATATGATACAAAGAGCTAATGGACGGTGTTAGGGGAAGGCTAAGTTGCATATTTACCCTGAATAATTGAAAGCTATCCTTGAAAGCAGTAATTAAACTCTAATCTCAAAATCATTCAGGTTCTAAAACCATTGTGGTCCAATATTAGATTGTTGGATTAAAATAACTGCCGTACACAAAATATCCCCTCCCCCTCCAAAAAAAAAAGATGCAGTGAAGTATTGGGATATGTATGCTACCTGATGTCCCTGCAGTGGGCTACATTTCCAAACTGGTTATTTCCAAACTAATACTTACCCTTGCTTTACCAAAAATGTGAATTCAGTGTTGTGTTTTTCTAGAAGGTCAATGCAGGAGAAAGATAACACAGTTAAGAGAGGTAATAAAAGGATTGTCTGCAAAGGTATTAGCAAAATTAAGAGACTCCAACCCATGGATGGTGAAGTGCACCTCTGTGGGCCTGGCAGGAATAGGGACCTTTAGGGGAAAGGGAAGGAAACCCTTGAGAGCTAAAGCCATGGACTAAGGGAGAGCCATAGAGCAAGAACTTCAGCCATCTGTAGAGAAACTGCAGACATATAGTCCAGCTAGAATAGGAGTAGGGAACCTCTTTCTTTCCTGTCCTCTGACCCAGTTATTAATAGAGAGCCACAGAGTTTTGCTATTGCTAATACTTAAGGTAATTTTCAGACTGAATCCAACCATAGATGGTTGGCTATGATCTTCTTGGATCTGATACTTTTTCATAAAACTGCTTAAGTATATCCTTATGAATATAGCGGGAGGAGACAAGGTCTGGTGGTGAAAATAGTTGTCCTTGTCTTAATAACTATGTTTGTGTGTTGTGTCCGGCTTCCAGGTATTATCCTGCTTAGTACAGATCGCTTCAGTCAGAAGATCCCTGTTTAACAATGCTGAGAGGGCCAAGTTTCTCTCTCATCTTGTTGATGGTGTTAAACGAATACTAGAAAATCCACAGGTAAGATTTTGGAAATTTTGCGTATGTGTCTTATTAGCATATGAAAAGTTGTAGGAATCTGAAGGAAATCTGTCTAAAGGTCCACTTAGCAGAAACCCAAAAAACAGTTTTATCTTGTTCTTCAAAGACGTATGTGTATCAGACAGCTATTGAGGATATTTGCCCAAAGCTTCAAAAATGCAGGGATAGTGGAAAAGGGTTGGTCGAGTTGGTACAGAAAAAATGAGTGGAATTGGTCACTTTTCCCCCAAGAAATTAAGACCTAAAGTTTGATCTTAGTTTTTAATTCACATTTTATTAATAGATATTAATATTCTAAGTATATAGAGCTATCTTCATAGGAAGACAATGTTTCTCTTGTAAATATTCGTTCTATATTGATTGCCATTTTTGTTTCTTGTGTTTTTTTGGGGGGGAGGAGTCCCTAAACTTCAAACTATTACTGCTCTATAGTAGAAAAAAAAATCATAAAAGCAATGTGGTTTTTTTGTTTTGTTTTGTTTTGGGGTCAGGTCATGGGGCATGGGTGCTGTCCCTCAGCTCTTCAACTCAAGGCTAGCACTCTACCACTTAAGCCATAGCACCACTTCCAGCTTTTTTTTTCTGCTTATGTGGTGCTGAGGAATCGAACCCAGGGCCTCATGCATGCAAGGCAAGCGTTCTACCACTGAGCTACCTTCCCAGCCCCAGCAATGTGTTTTTAAATATACTTAGTCCTCACCCAATCTAAAAACTTTATGTGGGCAAAGTATGATATCTGTAATCAGCTAGCTACTCAGGAGGTAGAGATCAGGAAGATCATGGCCAAAGACCAGCTCCCAGAAAGAATAACTAAAAACCAAAATGGTAGAGTGCTTGACTTGTAAGCACAAGGCCCTGAATTTTCTTTTTAGTTTCTTTTTTATGCAGCAAATTATACCAAGCTTTACTGTGTGCCAGTATTATAGTGAACAAAATAAAATCTCATAAAGAAACCTAATAAAATACATTGTTGTATAAGCAAGTCTATAATATGCATAAATTTATTATAGTAATCATGCTCTAAATATAGGAGCCATTTGTGTGTGACTAAGTTTTAGTAAACTACAGGAATGTGTTTAGTGGTCAGTTTGACAGATGTCAAAACCAAACAGGCCAGTCTTAGCATCTTCAGTTAATCAGCTTTAGCAAGTTGTAAGATCTCCTCTGTTGCTCCTGTTGCACACACTGCCAATTGAGGCTAATCCATCTCATGGGCAATTATTATGAACACATGAAATAATAATGTGATCATCATAAAAGTAATTTTTGTTTTTTGTTTTGTTTTTGTTAGTCGTGCTTGAACTCTTGGCCTGGGCACTATCCATGAGCTCTTCAGCTCAAGGCAAGCACTCTACCACTTGAGCCACAGCGCCTCTTGTGGGTTTTGGGTTTTTTTGTTTGTTTGTTTTGTCAGTCATGGGGCTTGAACTCTGGGCCTGGGCGCTGTCCCTCAGCTCTTCAGCTCAAGGCAAGGACTCTACCATTTGAACCATTGGTGTTTTATTGGAGATGAGTCTCAATGGATTTTCCTGCCTGGGTTGGCTTTGAACTGAGATCCTCAGATCTCAGCCTCCTGAGTAGCTAGTATTATAGGAGTGAGCCACTGGCACCCTGCTCTACATCTGGTTTTCTGGTGGTTAATTGGAGATAAAGAGTCTCATGGGCTTTCCTGCGTGGGCTGGCTTTTAACCACAATCCTCAAATCTCAGCCTCCTGAGTAGCTAAGATTACAGGTGTGAGCCACCAGCACCCGGCTTTTACTTTTTTTTTTTTTAACATTGTACAGATACATCATTCTGAATCATAACCTATAACTTAGAATTAAAAGATTCCTACCCTTCCCCCATGCCAGCCCTAATACATGTCATTCTTGAAATATAAGGGTGAATCACATTTTCCATTTTATTTTTCTCCTGTGTTGTTGCCAGAGTTTATCAGACCCAAACAATTACCATGAGTTTTGTAGATTACTGGCCCGACTGAAGAGTAACTACCAACTGGGAGAATTGGTTAAGGTAGAAAACTACCCTGAGGTCATCCGATTGATAGCCAACTTCACAGTGACCAGCCTACAGGTTTGTATTTGGTTGCTTTTGTCCTTGTTTTTAAACTTTAGAGTCTCTTCTCCTGCGTATTTATTTTAGCTTCATATGAACATTCTTCCAGTTGACCCTCTTGGCAGAGATGATATGAAGTATAAGCTGTCCTGCAGAGCAATTACTGTTGTAGCTTATTCATTTAAATGGATAAAAGGGCAAGGAACAGGTTGGGGATGTTGTAACTCAGTGGTAGAATGCTAGGCTAGTGTATGTAAGACCTTGAATACCTGGGATGGGGAATATAAGGAGTGTGGTTAGAGCAACATATGGGAATTGTAATACTTAGATTCAAGGGTAAGGCCTGCTGCCAGTAGCCTACCCCTGCAATCAGGAGGTTGAGATCTGGAGGATTGCAGTTCCATTCTAGCCCTCACAGGAAAGTTGACATTGGGTCTCAAACAGTATTCTTTGCTTCAGAATTATCTGGATGCTTTTCTGGTTCATTAGGCCAAAGGTGGAACTTTGGCATCTGTATTTCTAACTAGAGTTCTCCAGACAATTCACGTGTAAGCTAATAATCTGAAAACTGATGTACAGCTTTCTTTGTGAGGTTAAGACATCCAGCAGAGAGCTACCTTCTTATTTTCTGAAATAATAACCACTTCAAACTAGTTACCATATAAATAATGAATGAAGCCCCTGAGAGTTTTTTTTTAATTTTTTTATTTTTGTCTTTCTCTTTCATGTCAATGCGTTGAGATTTTGTATATAGAAATGAACACTTTGCCTTCTGCTCTTTTTGTTGTCCTTAGCACTGGGAATTTGCTCCAAATAGCGTACACTATCTCTTGAGCCTGTGGCAGCGGCTTGCAGCTTCTGTGCCATACGTTAAGGCCACAGAGCCCCACATGTTAGAAACATATACTCCAGAAGTCACCAAAGCCTACATCACGTCCCGTTTGGAATCTGTGCACATTATACTGAGGTAAAGAAATGTGGATATTTCCTTATCAGAAGCCTGGTGTCAAACATACTAGAGATAAGATAGCCAGCTGATGGGCTGGGAAGGTGGCTCAGTGGTAGAGCGCTTGCCTTGCATGCCTGAGGCCCTGGGTTCGATTCCTCAGCACCACATAAGCAAAAAGAAAAAAGCCCGAAGTGGCGCTGTGGCTCAAGTGGTAGAGCGCTAGCCTTGAGCTGAAGAGCTGAGGGACAGCGCCCAGGCCCAGAGTTCAGGCCCCACGGCTGGACCCCCCCCCCCCCCCCAAAAAAAAAAAAAAAAAAGATAGCCAGCTGACAAAAGAGGACTTGACAAAATTCCCATCAGTAGTAATATTGTTTGTGGCAAACCTTCTTTGTCAGTGTGGTAGAATATATGAGAGCCTTAAAAGTATGACAGAACAGTCTTTCTCTTTAACATTCTGTTCTCGTCCCCCATCCATAGTACAAAGCATATGCTTATATATGTTCTTTTCACTGATTTTCTTTAAGCATGAGAAATACTTGAGGGGATAGTCAGAGGTGAGGAACCTCTGGCCTTCAAGCGCTCAAAATCATTTGGTAGGACAGTCTCCTTGTATGCTTCTTACCGGCTGCCCATAGCTGTCTGCCCATATAGATAATATATTCTGTCTGTAACAATGTTATAAATACTCAAGTGAGCCAGGCACCGGTGGCTCACGCCTGTAATCCTAGCTATGCAGAAGGCTAAGATCTGAGGATCACAGTTCAAAGCCAGCTTGGGCAGGAAAGTCTGTGAGACTCTTTTATCTCTGATAAAGCACCAGAAAACCAGAAGTGGCTCTGTAGCTCAAGAGGTAGAGCACTCGCCTTGAGCTGAAGAGAAGAGCTAAGGGACAGCGCTCAGGCCCAGAGTTCAAGCCCCACAACTGGCAGGAAAAAAAAGTACCAAGTGGCCCTTGTCAAGAAAATGAGGGTTCCTACCCTAAAGTTGATAAAAAATATGACGTGTAAGTTATGGCACTTAATGTGAACTCCTATAAGTAAATGAATAAATAAGGTTGTATAGTTACCAACTCCTAATTTCAGAATTTGCTAGAATATATAAGAATTTTAGGCAACAGATCATTGTGTTATGTTATATTGCATGATGTTACATTAATGCAATTTCTATATATCTTAACAATTGACTGGACCAGAAACGTAGCTAAGAAATGTCAAATTCTTGCAAAAGGGACCTATTTCCTTAGGGACCTTTCCTGTGTATTTTTTCATTGGCTATTCTCAGGAGAATTTGTTTAGTCTCAGGGTCTGATTATTTTTTTTTTCCCCTCGGTCGTGGTGCCTTAACCCTGGGCCTGGGTGCTGTCCCTCAGCTCTTCAGTTCAATGCTAGTGCTCTACCACTTGAGCCACAGCACCACTTCTGGCTTTTTCTGCTTATGTGGTGCTGAGGAATCGAACCCAGGGCTTCATGCATGCAAGGCAAGCACTGTACCACTGAGCCCCCTTCCTAGCTCCCAGGGTCTGATTTTTTTTTTTTTGTTGGTCTTGGGGCTTGAACTCTGGGCCTGGGCGCTGTCCCTGAGCTCTTCAGCTCAAGGCGAGCGCTCTACCACTTGAGCTACAGCGCCACTTCCTGATTTTTTTTTTTTATTCATATTCTTAATTTACTCAAAGTCAATTGTAGTTAATTGTCTTTAGTCTTAACTGTTGATGATTTTAGTCATTTCAATATTTGTGAAGTTCACTAGATAATCTTGTCTAGTTCATGTGGCTTCCCAGAAACAGTGCTGGGGAATGAAGAAGTATATAGAAACTCTGGGATCAAGAAGTTGGGCAAGTTTCTCCACTTCCTTATTTGTAAAATAACAATAAACAAATAATAGACCTGCCTCATGGTTCTTGCAAGGATTAAATGAATTCTGCCTGGCTTTATATGTGTTACATGGTAAGCCTATATCAGGCAACTATTTATGTGCTGCTGTTGCCACCATTGCCTACTGAAATAGAACAGTAGTGAACTTAGGGTGTTAAAAACTAAGAACCAGTAATTGAGACAAGGCTCAGTATAGTCATAAATCCTCACCTGCAATTTTGAAATCCAACAACATGTGAAACTAAATTTTCCCATCCTTTTGGTACCAAAATTCGCTTGACTAAACTTGGTATTAAATCATTTACAGGTTAAAAAAAAAAATCCTATTTAGACTGGGTGCTAGAGGCTCATGCCTATAATCCTAGCTACTTAGGAGGCTGAGATCTGAGGATTACAATTCAAAGCCAGCCCAAGCAGGAAAACCCATGAGACTCTTCTCCAATTAACTACCAAAATGCTGAAAGCAGAGCTGTGGCTCAAGTGGTTGAGTGTTAGCCTTGAGCACAAAAGCTCAGGTTCAGTGCCCAGGCCCTGAGTTCAAGCCCCAGGACTATAAAAAATAAAAATAAAAAATCTTACTTAATACGTGAGTTTATGATTCTCATACATTTGCTTCAGGCTACAAGGCTGGTCAGAAGCATCATACGCCTTCCTAAATATGAAAGTACCTGAGTTCCTAAAACCATCTGGCCACAGTAGAGTCACATATAAAGGACTATGCACTTATTTGCTATACTTGGGTTATGGGAGTGGCCCAAGTGGTAGAGACTTCCTAACAATTGTGAGGCCCTGAGTTCAAGCCCCAGTACAATTTACTGTAGCCAAAAATGCAAAGATATTTGTCTTCCAACTTATCCTTTCTTGGGAAAAATTAATATTGGGATGTGGACCTCTACAATTGGAAATAGTGGCTAAACTAAGAAGAAAGAGCTGCTGTATCCAGGAAATTAGTAACCATTCTTTTAAGACAGCTGCCTTCCTTTTTCCCTTGGGAATAGAGATGGTTTGGAAGATCCCCTGGAAGATACAGGTCTGGTCCAACAGCAGTTGGACCAGCTGTCCACTATTGGGCGTTGTGAGTACGAGAAGACTTGTGCACTCCTTGTGCAGTTGTTTGACCAGTCAGCCCAGTCCTACCAGGAGTTACTGCAGAGCGCCAGTGCCAGCCCAATGGACATTGCAGTACAGGAAGGTGAGTACAGTGTTTGGGAAGCTCCAGTCCTGCAAAGACATGCTGTAGGAACTTTTCACTGCTTGTTACCCCCATGCACACAAAGTATTTGTGAATGAGTCAGTACCACAGAGAATTAGGGAAGAGTAACTGAAGCATTTGTAGTGGGTGTTTTTCTACAGAAGTACTGCACTCTAAAAATAATGATTTTTTGGGGGGCTGGGAAGGTGGCTCAGTGGTAGAGCACTTGCCTTGCATGCTCGAGGCCCTGGGTTCAATTCCTCAGCACCACATAAGAAAAAAAAAGCCGGAAGTGACTCAAGTGGTAGAGCGCTAGCCTTGAGCTGAAGAGCTGAGGAACAGCGCCCAGGCCCAGAGTTCAGGCCCCACGACCGGACCAAAAAAAAAATTAAAAATTAAAATAAAAATAATGATTTTTGTCTGATAGAGGAACATTGATTATCTGATAAATTTCCCCCTCGCCATCACAGAGCAGAGGGTAGCCTAACTCTGTAAGAGAAGTAAAATGTCATGCCTTACCCGAGTGTTCTTGATTAAGGGAGCTCCTAGTTAGAAATGTCTTTGTGAGATCTTCCCTAGAGGGAACATGATGAGTCTTCCTCCTGCTACAGGACGGCTGACATGGCTGGTTTACATCATTGGAGCTGTGATTGGTGGCCGGGTTTCTTTTGCCAGCACTGATGAGCAAGATGCTATGGATGGTGAGCTTGTCTGTCGGTAAGTTTATTCCATGGAAGCCTTCCATTTCCACTTCACTTCTGACCACTGCCCATTCCCTGATGGGGCCCTGTTCGTGCTTTGCTCCCTATTTGCAGAATGTAGACTGAGGGTACTGAATGCCCATGGAAATAAAGTCCAACTTTAAACCTTTGAGGAGTACAGTAGGAATTCTGCCTGTGAGCCACACTGAAAAACATCTTAACAGTAATTCACATAGAAATGGTGGGTAAAGCATTAGGAAGTTGTTGGGACATGTGCTTCTTTTGTAATGTCAATACAGTTCTAAAAAGTAGAGATATAGAACTTCTCGTAGTCTCAGATTTCTTTGCCATAAGTTCGCCCACCTATAGACTTGTAAGTTATTTTGTCTGTATAATTCTCCTTTTATTAAAAATCCTTTAGATGAATGGTAAACTTAGTGAAAACGTACAAATTGAAGAAAGGAAATACGCACCATAATTAGTGATTTCTAAAACTTTAATAGAGAAATACAAAGTCATTGAACTCTGGGCCTCATGCTCATTTGGCATGTGCTATTTGAGCCAATCCTCCACCACTAAAAGGAGATTTTTTTTTTTTTTAAGACCCTAATCATATGTTTCATTTTTATCTCAACACTTTCTTACCCTGTATTAAGGACCTCAAAGAGCATTTGAAGGGTTTTACTTAATTTATGAATTTCCTTTAAAATGATACTAAGCCCATTGTATGCTAACAATCCATTTTTGTGAATAATATCAATATTTTCCAAAATTAATTCCAAAAATTAATGAGAACAGGGCTGTTTTACAATTCAGAAATTTTCACAAATCTTTTTCATGTCTGACATGTAGAAGTTGGCTACTTTCTCCTATCTGCTTCTGCCTTGTCTGTGGTGACATCACACATTCTGTAGACTCTGGGAAAGCTAGAGCAACAATGCTTTAGTGTAGTGAAAAATGATCCATTGACCCTGCAGAGAGCCTCTACCCTTCAGGACACACAGAAGCCTGCTGTCTTAGAGTTTATTGGTTTCCTGACATCTTAATCCATAGTTCTTCCAGAAGTTCCTTTTGTCTCTTGTTACCATTTTGTTTATCACATACCCCTTTGCCTTGAGTACCTTAATCCCAACTAAGATATCTGGCTGGCTGAAGACTTGTAGAGTTGAGCAAACATTTTAAAAGACTTAAATCTAAGACTTTCTGATTCTACATTTCAACATGATACTGTTGTTTGTCATAATATAAATTTAGTTTAGCCAGTGTCTTGTAGGCTCACCATTATTGAGTCTAATATACTAATGATGTGTTACAAAATAGTTGCTGCCTGTTCTCGTACTATTAGAATGTAAAATGACTCTCAATAACATCATTCAATTCAGTACAGAGAAAGGAATGAAGTCTCAGGCAGTATATCTGCTGTTTGTCCTTGGACGTATTCCCTGCCTGTGACATTCATTGTCCTTCACGTGTCTCTCTTCTTTTTTCATGGCTCTCTGAGAAAAAAGATTGAGAACCATTGGATTAGTCTAGCCTTCCTCATCTGCATAGATAAACTAGAGTGCAAGAAACTACTGCATGCAAGGTCTCACAGGAGTTTTAGGAAAAGATATCATTTATACCAGCATTTCCCCATGTTTTTAAGCTGATTATGAGTTTTGCTCCTATCTACAGCTTCAGTAAACAAACATCTGTTGTTCCTGTGGAGCAAAAATGGAAATGTTCACTCCCTCACCAGAGCTTACAGCCTGCAGAGAATTCCTGTCCCGTAGGGTGGGAGATGAGGATGAGAAGGAGGCATGTTTGACTATTTTGGGATAGCTTGGATTGTCTAAAATGACCAGGATATCCTGCTGTTGAGACAGAATCATTGCTCCTCTTCCTCTAGGGTGCTCCAGCTAATGAACCTAACAGATTCTCGATTGGCTCAGGCGGGTAATGAGAAGCTTGAATTGGCCATGCTGAGTTTTTTTGAGCAGTTTCGTAAGATCTACATTGGGGACCAGGTGCAGAAATCCTCGAAGGTAACAGATTCGTAATTGGCTTCATTTAAGTTCTCACTTCTTAGATGTACAGTAACTGATTGAGGGAAACAGTGGATAACTGTTGAGAAACAGCCTCCACATTTTGGGTACTGGGATAGTCCAAATGTTTTTACTACTCTATAGAATTTCTAGGAGACTAATCAAAGAATTGAGTCCATTGCTGTAGTGCTCCATATGTTTAACAAATGGCCAGTCATCAAAACATCTGTTGCTCTTCCCCCAGAATTGGCAGCTCTTAGTCTCTCTACATGAATTAATATTCAGAACAGCAGGAGATTTTGGCAGTGATTTTGCAATTTCAAGACTGAAGGGAGCTAGATGCCACTAGCTCATACCTACAGTCCTAACTACTGAGGTCTAATGAATGTGCTTCCAAACCAGCCCAGACATAAAAGCCCATGAGACTCTAATCTATAGTTAACAGTAAAAATTGGGAAGTGTGGCTGTTGCTTAAGTGGTAGAGCACCAGCTTTGAGCAAAAAAACCTGAGGGAAAAATCCCAGACCCTGAATTCACGCCCTAGTATCGGAACACACACCCCTTTAAAAAAAAAAAATTTGCAGACCAGTAAGCTAGCTCAGCTTCTATCTGTTATTTAGTAGTATTTGAAGTTGGCCCACCACTTTAGCGAGTATTCTCCAGGATTGTCTATTTTTCCATGTCTTAACCAGACAGTCCATGGAGATGATTGTTCTAATCCATGTTTCCCCCTTTCTCTTCCTTTGACGTTACACCAGCTGTACCGCCGACTCTCAGAAGTCCTGGGCTTGAATGATGAGACCATGGTTCTAAGCGTCTTCATAGGAAAAATGTAAGTGTTTTGGCTCACCCTCAGCAAGAGGCAGTTGCTGTCCTGTTGCAACTATAAAATGTTATTTTGGCATTGTGCTGCCACTGCCTTGGTATTCAAGCATTGATCGTTTGCGTCAGAAAATTGTGCATTTGAGTGTGTGACAAGCTGTGCTTAGAGATATGGCCCGGCCCCAGAGCATTCCAGGCTTGTACAGAATCTTGCAGCATCTCCTCTTTAGCCTCTGGAATCATGGGTAGAGCCCCGTCGTGGCATTCACCAAATGAAGCTCCTTCCCCAGTGATTGCTCAGCCTCTCACTTGATCGGTCACTGAGCTGCCTGGGGTGCCCAGAGTAGGCATTTGCTTTCTGGTGCTGATTTCCACTAGCTAAATCTGTTCCCCATGAGAGAGCCCACTTTCAGGTGGACTTACTGCTCTCAGGAAGCATCACACCCTGTGAGAATCTTCAAAATCTAGTTCTGTTGTTTGAAAGGTCTTCACAGTTGAAGCTCCTAATTGGCCCTATTTATGGTTTTTTGTTTTTCTTTTTAAGTTATGCCCCTTTGGTTACATTTTCCTCTTTTTAGGAGCTCAATTGATCAGAGCACACAGTAGAAGCCAAATACATTTTCCAGGGCTGTGTGCAAAGTGACAGTTTGCTTTCTCATAACTATACTCGCCCTAAGCCCTCACATCCATGAGCTGGTTAATAATTTAAAATGGAAAAAACAAAGGGGGTCTAAAGGACTCTGCCAGCCAAGAATCCATAAGCAAGGGCTACTAGAATTCTGCAGCTGACAGTGGATGGTGCAGGTGCAGAATTGCATACGTCTGCATGTTATCACTGCCGCAGAAATCTCTTACCCTTGCTGCAGAAATCAGCCCTGGAGTGCCCCAGAATTCCAAGGGCCTGGGTATGGGCCAGTGTAGCTTTGGAACCAAGTAGTGAAGATTATCTGAAGGATAATTTTTCTAGTCAACTAAATGTAAGTACAGAGATTTTATACCCACTTTTTGTTTTTTTTTGTGGTTGTGATGTCTGTGAATTGGTGATGCAGATGTGTGGTGACTTGATGGATGGCTTTCTTCTCTCAGCCCTCAAAGAAACCAGACAAATCAAAAGTGTATCCTGCTCTTTTTTCTTGTTGTCCTCCAGCATCACCAACTTGAAATACTGGGGCCGCTGTGAACCAATCACCTCCAAGACACTACAGCTTCTCAACGATCTTTCCATTGGATATCCTTTTTAACCCAGGTCCTATGCAGAACAAAAACTGCAACATGCCCACCTAAGAAGTCATGACCTCTTGCTGTTGCTGCTTTGATTTAGTGCTAGTGTATACTTAGGTATGCTTACACAGAATCCAGAATTCCAGACCCACAAAATGAGCCAAAACACAACCTGTTTAGTTCTAAGGTGGCCTGGAAATATCCAGGAACCTCGCTCTCAGGTATGTCCAAGGTTTTATCATCCTTAATAAATACTAAGTCCCTCAACTAACTTGTAGAAACATCCCTATGCCAAGCTTTTACACTAATGTAAGCTATGCTACCTCTTGACTTGGACACTATTGGCTATAAAAAGTTTAAGTTATTCTAAAACAGCTTTTCACAGGCTAAAAAGAGCAGGAAATTTTGTAAAATGGTTTGAGTGACTTTGTTCAGAGCTAGTGCCATTCTGAATAGGATAGAATCTCATTCACAGTATAAAGTGGATGTTGAAGACAGGGTTTTAGGATTTAAATTCCCTCTTAGAACCCCTACCAAGAAAAGCTCTTCTAAGATATTCATAACTTCAAGGACAAACATCTGGGTGGTGTTATTTTCTTGCAGACAGGAGTTTGGTATGGGTATTCTCTTACTCAGCAGTTAAATACTGCCAAGAAAATACCTTTTTTTTTTTTTTTTTCCTACTTGGCAGTTGTATATACTCAAGAGTTTTAAAAAAGATACTTAGCTTACTACCAATGTTTTCATCGGCTGGGTTCTGGCTCATGCCTGTAATCCTACCTTCTCAGGAGACAGATCTGAGGATTATGGTTCAAAGCCAGCCCAAGCAGGAAAGTCCGTGAGACTCCAATAAACCACTCAGAAAACCAGAAGTGGTGCTTTGGTTCAAGTGGTAGAGCTGCTAGCCTTGAGCTGAAGAGCTGAGGGACAATGCCAAGGCCCAGAGTTCAAGCCCTACCACCAACCCCTGCCCCCCCACCCCCAAAGAAATGTTTTTATGTGCCTTACAGATTCTTAGTTTGTTCTACACTTTCCTTGACCTTCTCCCTCTGTATTTACGTACAGTAGTGTAAGGAAGCTAGTGAAGCTTAGTGCGGTACAGTTCATGCTGAACAATCACACGGTGAGTGATTTTAGCCCTTCTTCCTGTCCATTCTAGCTACCCACACACATTTCCTTGACACATTTAAAAAAATGTTTATAATGAGGTCCTGGTTTTTGCTAAACCAAAGACTGGTCCCTGACTCCCTTCATACTTCCATTTTATACTTCCTGCCATCAGAACTTTTCTTTGGCATCAGAGTGAACTGAGCTATGATGAAGCCACCTACTACAATTTATACTCCAGATAAATTTGTAGTGGGTAACAGTCACAATAATTTTTTAAATATTTAATAAATACTCCTAGATCCTTAAGGCATGACCATGGAGCACTAGTTTAAAAAGGCTCAGTAATTCTAAAATTACTGGCTTGCATTCTGCCTCTAACCCATGTTTTTACCTTTTTAACTTGTTTTCTTTTTTTCAATAGAGCGAGCACTTTTCATTTTTGGGTATTAACAATCAGTCCAACCTGACAGACATGCGGTGTCGGACTACCTTCTACACAGCACTTGGGCGTCTCCTCATGGTGGATTTAGGTACTGCAATAAATCCTAGAGGCTCATGAAGTAATCTGGCACTGTTCTAAATTTTTATTTGAAGACAGAAGACTAGATATGGGGGAAATCTCTGTTGTTTCAACAGTAACAAAACCATCTAGAATAACAGTCCGATTACACAAAGAACACATCATGCTGTCATGCTCCGTATAACTAGAAGAGAATAATAGTATGCTCCCAAAGTTTTCATCTTGATATACAGTAGCTTTAAAATTCTCTTCTCGATGGGTGCAGTGGCACATACCTATAATTCCAGCTACTTGGGAGGCTAAGACAGAAGGAATGTGAATTTGAGGCTAGCCTGGACAAGATCGGCTAGAACCTGTTTAAAATTTTAAAAGCCTGAAAAATTCTCTCTTCATTTATGAACTGATATTCCTAAATGAGTCTTGTTGGCCAGAAATTTCTCCCATGCCACACTGAGAGCTAAAGCCACCTGAGGTAGTCTATAAAGGTTTTCTTATCTGGGTCTCTAGAACCTGTGAAGCAGCATGATTTAATCACTGCTTCATTTGTAGCACTGGTGGTGATGGTAGCAGGTATGGCTTAATTAATAATTCACACTCGATGGCCTTCCATTTTTGAGCTGTTTAAATTTCATTCTACTGAAATGATATTACGAAATTTAGGGTATCAAAGATAGTGCTAAGAAGAGTAAGTGTAAATAAAGCCTCCATAAGCATCTATTTCAAGTTTGACTCTCATCTAGTTCTCACACACACCAACATCTGTCCTTTTTTGACTATCTCTTGTCCTCAGTGAAGGTAGAATAGACACATAGCACCCTTTTTATACATGTGAATCTCTGGTGACTGGCTCAGCCTTAGGAACTTAGGATATCCCTGCACTGGACAGTATATCTGTTCTTTCCTAGTCTAAGATGTCTGCGTCTGTATATACATTTTCTTAGATTACTACTAACACCTGTTGGGGTAATAAAGGGACCCTCAAATTATCTAGGTCCCGCTCAGCTTTCATCCAGCCTGTTTCTCAAGTCTACACAGCTTGGACTTACTGGTATCAGGGTCACACCTGGGGTTGTTTCCCTTGCAGGGGAGGATGAAGATCAGTACGAGCAGTTCATGCTGCCACTTACAGCAGCGTTTGAGGCTGTGGCTCAGATGTTTAGCACTAACAGTTTCAACGAGCAAGAGGCAAAGGTGAGTCTGTCACCCACAAACTGACCAGCTTCCAGTAGAATTCAGCCTAGCAATAGCTAGTACTATCACAAATTGTGATTGTCCATAAACCACTGGGTAGCTTTGAACTCCATCTCTTGGGCTCTTGGGATTTTTATATTAAAGAACCAATAGAGATTTATAGGCACATTTTAAGTTAAAGTATATTCTTAAGTAACTCTCAGGAATTCTTTATGTGTGTTCACAAACACATTAACTTAAAGTTACTTACAGTTTTCTTACTGTCTTTTTGTTGTTAAAGGACAAAATTTAGAAATTTATTTTGGGTACAAAATACCAAGTATAAGAAATGTATTTTGCTCTTAGGGAAAGTTTTGGGGGAATGGGTCATTTCTACAGTGACCTGCCTTTTTAATCACTACTGTGTCTTTATGTCCCCTTTCCATTTCTGTTTCTGCTTTATTAGTGCTTTCGTTGTTTTCCTAATCATTTCCTGCCACTGATTTGTCAATTTTGTTATCTTTTGCAAAACAAAAAAAAATTGTTTTGTTTTAGTTACATTTGTATTATCTTTGTTTTTGTGTTTTCCATGAAGTTACTGCTCTGTTGCTACTTGACATCATAGCTTTTCCTCTCTCCCAGTATAATCTGTCTTGTAAGACTATTAGTGCCTCTGACCATACAGGGTTCTTTGAAAATTGTGGTTTTAAAAAAAATCAGGGGAGCCGGGCACTGGTGGCTCATGCCTGTAATCCTAGCTACTCAGGAGGCTGAGATCTGAGGATCAAGGTTCAAAGCCAGCCCAGGCATGAAAGTCCATAAGACTCATCTGCAATAAACCACTCAGAAAACTGGAAGTGGCTCTGTGGCCCACGTGGTAGAATGGTAGCCTTGAGCTGAAGAGCTGAGGGACAGTGCCCAGGCCCAGAGTTCAAGCCCCATGACTGACAAAAAAAAAATGGAGTTGGGGCTGGGAAGGTGGCTCAGTGGTACAGTGCTTGACTTGCATGCATAAGGCCCTGAGTTCGACTCCTCAGCACCATATAAGCAGAAAAAGCTGGAAGTGGGGCTGAGGCTCAAGTGGTAGAGCGTTAGCCTTGAGCTGAAGAGCTGAGGGACAGCGCTCAGGCTGTCAGAGTTCAGACCCCACAACCAACCCCCCCAAAAAAAAAAAATTGGGTTGGAGGCATGGCTCATTTGGAAGAGCTCTAGAAATTATCAAGTACTGAACTTGAGTCCTGGTCTCAGACCAAAAGAGAAAAAATAAAATCATATAGGGGCATGTCTCAAATAATTGCATTCCTACCTAGTTTGTTTTTGTTTTTTGTCGGTCATGGGGCCTTAAACTCTGGACCTGGGTGCTGTCCCTTAGCTCTTCAGCTCAAGGTCAGCGCTCTACCACCTGAGCCACAGCACCATGCCCAGCCTTTTCTGCTTATGTGATGCTGAGGAATCGAACCCAGGGAGTCATGCATTCAAGGCAAACACTCTACCACTGAGCCACCTTCCTACCCCCTGCATTCCTATGTAATAAGCAGAAGATCCTGAGTTCACACCAGAAATTCAGACTTTACCATCTGAACTATTTTAACTGTATAGTTAATAGTGTTGAGCATTTCAACATTGTCATGAAATAGAGCCTTAGGATCTACAAGCTTTAATATGTAACCTTTTCATTATCACTTGGCTCTCTGTAATTTCTCATTTCAACTAAGATTTCCCTTTGAATTTTCCATGTGTAGAATTATATGTTTTTTTAGTTCTTGGTGTCTGATTCTCAGAATTCTCATCTCTTGCTTCATACACACTTGCTCTCCTGACCTATAGATAATTGTGGCAAGAAAATAAAAAACCAGGATTATGTTAACTAATACTAGAATACCATGTCACCAAGGCTGGCTGGTAGAACACCAAACTGCCAGGATATTGCAAGAAACATTGCCAGCTTTTATCTGACATTTGTCTTAGCCTCTTAGTTTCCATCTTCATATCAGCAAAGTAGTCACAGTGACACCACTGATTGTAGGTCTATTTCCTTTATACTTGTATTGTCAGATCTGAAATGGGCACCATTCAAAGAGGAGAGGATTATTACGAAACACCCCTAACTTATACAATAGTATCAATGACTAACAGGGTATCATAAATACCAGCTCTTTTCCCATCATATTAGTTTCACACAAAGTAAATAAAATTACCCAAAAGAACCATCTGGACCATGAACTACCAGGGTCACCTGCATCTTTCTCATGTCCCATGTAATAATTTTTTACATCAACCATGTGAAAAGTTGAGCTCATGATACCAACTGTTTGCTTAAAGCAAACTTCACAGAAATCTGGAAGTTTTTTGACAACTGAGTCAAGATGCCCAGATGTTCTACTTTCTCAGGCTGCTAGACTCTAAAAGCAATCTTATTGCTGTAATTTAGGAACCCTCATGTAAAAGTTCTATTGAAAAAAAAGGATTCAATTTAAGTCTGTCCTTTTAACTCAAGACCTTGCACTTGTAGGCAGGCAGTCTAGCACTTGAGCTTTGTACCCAGCCCTTTTGGGTACAAAAGAGAGTTCTAATTTTGTAGAGCCTTCTTCAGACCAATGCCTCTCTAGCTTGTATCTTAGTTGTGTACTATCACATCTGTCTTTTTTTTAATTTTTATATTTATTTATTTAGGGTCCGGTCGTGGGGCCTGAACTCTGGGCCTAGGCGCTGTCCCTCAGCTCTTCAGCTCAAAGCTAGCGCTCTACCACTTGAGCCACAGCACCATTTCTGGCTTTTTTCTTTTTGCTTATGTGGTGCTGAGGAATCCAGGGCCTCAAGCATGCAAGGCAAGCCTCTACCACTGAGCCACCTTCCCAGCTTCTGTCTTTTTTTATTAAGATGAGGTGTCACTAACATTTTGCTGCAGCTGGCTTCAAACTACAATTCTCCTTATCACTTCCTGTAACTGAGATTATAGACGAAAACCACCACACCTGGCAAAAAGGGAGTCTTAATCCTAGGCGCTCCTCCCACCAAGCAACATGACCTTAGGCACATTTCATGGCTGCTCCGTGCCTCTGTCACTTCAGTAAAGAGAGCAAGTTCTTGACAGCTCCAAGGTTCAACACATCAGTCTTATTTCCACAGAAGATTCCCTGTAGACTCACCAAAAGGAGGGCCTGCACTTGAGTACTTGAGTTCTTTTTAAGATGCAAATCTTTAGGGTTTATCCGGCTTCTGCTTTTTCTTATCTAGGCCTTTCTATCAATCTTTTTGAATGAGCTATTTTGTTTTCCCACTTGTCACTTTACTATCTAAAAAAGTTATTCTGGGGCTGGAGGTGTAGCTCAGTAGAACACTTTTAGTGTGCCTGGCTGTGGGACTGGTGGGGGTTGTGGGGGACACAACTTAGCACCATTTTTGCTATAATGAGCCACAAACCACACTGTTTTGTAGTATAAATTATCTGAAAGCTAAAGCCTGAGTATTTTGAATTTTAGAGTTGAATGATGCAGATTTCATAATATTTGGGGAACACAACCCAAGTCCACATGAAATTCATTTGTATTCCATATATTCCTTATATACATATTTTAATAGTATTTTTTATATATCCTTTCAGACATTTTGTGAGGTTCATTCTGTTTCACAGTGCTGAGGATCAGACCCAGGCCTTGTATATGGTGGTGCTGGGCAAGTTTTCCAACACTGCTGGCTCTCCAAGCAGTAATTCTGTACATGAAACAAGGGTTCATGATGTGAGGTTTTCCACTTATTAGTAGCATGTTGGCACTTAAAATGTTTTGGATTTTGGTGGGACTTGGAGTGCACTTACAGTGCTTGCTTATCTAGCATGTATGAGGCCTGGGGTTCTTCCCCAATATTCCCCTGCCACAAATAAGTTACCGATTTTGGAGATTTCAGATTTTTCTGATAAGAGATGTTCAACCAGTATAACAAGCTTTCTAAAACCAATTTTCCAAGTGAAAAGATCCCATTCTAGCATGAAAGATTGATTCAGGATATTGGGGAGGAGTATTTATTAAACTGAGATGAAGAAGGTGATACGGATATGTGAATTCCCATCAGATCAGCTTTGGTTTTTCTTCTCTTTTAACATATTTTTACATTCTACTACAGCGAACTCTAGTTGGCCTAGTGAGAGACCTGAGAGGGATAGCTTTCGCCTTCAATGCCAAGACCAGCTTCATGATGCTATTTGAATGGATGTATCCTAACTCAAACTAGGAGCATACTATATAAGCCTTAACTGGAGTGTGGCTGGGTGATGGAGTCATAGGGGTTGGGGTGGGTAAATGGTAAGGCAAAAAGAAATACCCAACAAGTATGCTGTGTGTCCTGTAAGCTCCATGACATGGTGATCTAATGACAGTGTTGCCTGGAATTGGGAGATAAAAGAGGTGGCTTCCCAGTTTGTCTTTGGGGTCCAAGATAAATGTCTGGAACTCAGTGCCACTGGGGAACTGTTGAAATGTGAATTTTGCTACTTAAGACATTTCAATCTACTTTTTAAAAAATTGCAGTTATTAGGATATCTTAACTGTAATGAAATTATAACCTTGAGCAGGTCATTTCAACTCAGTACCTCTTTCCAATCATATGTAAAGGAAATAGCTAGGGCTGGGAAGGTGGCTTAGTGATAGAGTGCTTGCTTTGCATGCATGAGGCCCTGGGTATTTCCTGTATAGATTCCAAGATTAGCAGGCAATACACAGGAAAGGACAGAGCTGTAGTTTTGAGTATCTTTCTGGATTCAGAACTTCTTCCTTAGCTCCTCATTTACAGATATCCATCCTACATGCCAATTCTCCAGCGGGCAATAGAGCTCTGGTACCATGATCCCGCCTGTACCACACCTGTGCTCAAGCTGATGGCTGAATTAGTTCATAATAGGTAAGCAAGAAGATGTTCAGAGGGCACAGCTGTTCTTTATTTGAGAAAGTCTTGGAAGAATTTCCTTGATCTCATGCTAACATCCGATTTAGAGAGCTGTATGTCTGTTTGTGTCTATGTGTTTGGAAAAAGGATATCCCCAGCCATGTAAGCTGCCTGTAGGAAATAAGTCACCTTGTAAAATAACAAAAAAAAGCACAAAAATATACTTAGATTAATTATACAAATAGAGGCCACTGGGGCACTGCCACATATATACATTTATAGTATTCCATTTTACTCCCTTTTTCCCTTCGGCAAATGGTTCTACTTTCATACACAAAATCTACTTTGGCCATATTTATCCTTGTTCACCCTCCTTTTTGCCCAACCCCTTGCCACTAGTACTCTTTAACAGAGTCTGTTTCTCTTTGCCCACCTCCCACTGGTCAACAGCTTTCATGGAGGTTTTTGGTGTATTTTAATGTATAGTTGAAATGTATTTGAAAATTATCCACTCTCTTTCTTGGTCAGAATATCTATTCTTAATAAGAAGTAACTTTGGCAACCAAGGTTCTCATTTCTCTAACCACAATGTTAACCATTTGGTGGTAATGCCCTCTCCACATTTCAGAGTGGAAACAGTTGAGAAAGAAGTGATATGCTTGAAAATACTTTTGTTTTTGTTTTTGCCAGTCCTGGGACTTGAACTCAGAGCCTTGGTACTGTCCCGAGCTCCTTTTTTTTTTTTTTTGCTCAAGGTTAGCACCCTACCACTTGAGCCACAGAGCCACTTCCAGCTTTTTTTGTTTATATAGTACTGAGGAATTACACCCAGGGCTTCATGCATGCTAGGCAAGCACTCTACCACTAAGCCACTTTCCCAGCCCCTGAAAATACTTTTAAGAAAGTTGTTTGCTAGGTAGATTTCAACTGGACAAGTAAATGTTTACTCCTCTCCACCCTCGACTCCCCGGTTGTGGGGCTTTAATTCAGGGCCTGATTTTCTTTGTGCTCAAGGCTAGTGCTCTATTGCTTGAGTCACAGCCCACTTCTGGCCTATTCTGAGTAGTTTATTAGAGATGAGAGTCTCACAGACTTTCCTGCCCAGATTGGCTTTGAACTGTGATGCTCAGATCTCATTCTCCTGAATAGCTAGGATTACAGGCATGAGCCACAGGCAACTGGCTTAAGATTTACTTTGTTTTTAAAAAAAGATCTCTGAAACGGGAGGCAAATGGAAAAGATAAGTACAGAAGATAATTTCAGGCAGTAATTAAGTGCTATAAAAATAATAAAACAAGGCAATAACATAGAGAATAGAAGGGTCTCTTAGAGAAAATGATTTAAGTTGGGATCTGAATGAAAGATGTGCTTATGACCCTGCAAAATAAAGGGTGTGGTAAATAGCACCACTGCAAACGTCTTACTGGAAGCACATAAGGTGAGTTTGAATGCACATATGGCTAGAGCTTAGAGAGTAAGCAGAGACTATGGTGGAGGAAGTCAAACTAGTAGGCACAGGACAGGCCATCCAGTGCCTTGCTTGGCACAACAGTAGTGAGAAACAGGCATTTTCCCTTCAGTGCTAGGTCATTTTACCAAGGGGCAAAGTAATCTGGGTTCCATTCCCACTACCTGCTGTGTTGACTCCTAATAAGGCAATATTGAAAACAGAGACTACAGGAAATCCATGAATTCAGGCACAGTTCAGAACAAGGTCAAGATGGATTTGATTGATGGTGGAGTCAAGAAGGGTCAATAAAGCTCAAGGCAGAACAGACAGAAGTGATGTTCTAGTCTTAGGGGGTGTGCAGAATGAACTGTGATTGCTAAAGCTTTGTTCATCTCTGCTGATTTCATCTTTTTAGATTTCTCTGTAGCCTGGTAGCAATGCTCTTTCCCTCTCGCAGTTGCTAAAGAAGCCATCCAGGGAGGCATTTGAAGTTGGTGTTAGAGCCGAGTGTTGGTTACTCACACCTGTAATCCTAGCTACCCAGGAGGCTGAGATCTGAGGACTGCAGTTCAAAGCCATCCTGGGCAGAAAAGTCCATGAGACATACTCTTCTCTCCAGTTAACCACCAGAAAACTGGAAGTGGCACTGTGGCTTGTGGTAAAGCACTAGCTTTGACCAAGTTAGAGAAAGTGGGTTATGAGTTAGTACCAAAGAGACTGAAAGAAATGTGCACATGCACTTACACACACCAGTACTGAGGCTTTTTCACTCTAGACTGATGCCCTAACACTTGAGCAACTCTTCCACTTCTGGCTTTTTGGTGGTTTAATTGGAAATAAGCGTCTTTCAGACTTCCCTACCTAAGCTGGCTTCAAACCATAATCCTTGTATCTTAGCCTCCTAAGTAGCTACAATTACAGGTCTGTTGCCTTGGGGGGTTTGTTGTTGGCTGGCCTTTTTAAAAAAAAAATTCTATTATTTGAGCAGCAAAACTTATAATAACACTATCATTGGCCAGGCACCTGTGGCTCATGCCTGTAATCCTACTTACTCAGGAGGCTGAGATCTGAGAATCACAGTTCAAAGCCAGCCCAGGCAGGAAAGTCCACGAGACTCTTATCTCCAATAAACCACTAGAAAACTAGAAGTGGAGCTCAAGTGGAAGAGTGCTCACCTTGAGCTGAAGAGCTGAGGGACGGCTCCCAGGAGCCTCTACCCCACGACCGCCAAAAAAATAAAAATAAATAAACTGTCATTGGTTAATATTTTTGGCTTTTGTCTCATTAGGGTAGACAGTCTGCAGTCGTAGTACAGGGTCATCACCCAGGATACTCTTGAGATCTCAAAGTACCCCACTCTTCCAAAGAAAACACTTTTGGTCTTACAAAGCTTCCAGAATGAACTACAATTGGTAAAGCTGCTAAAATCCTTATGTATTTTCTGCTTAGATCTCAGCGGCTCCAGTTTGATGTCTCTTCCCCCAATGGCATCTTACTCTTCCGAGAAACCAGCAAGATGATAACGATGTATGGTAGGTGCTCAGGAGGAGCATGCTCCAGAATTGAATGCAGCAGTATAGTCTCAGTCCTTGCAGTGGCCAGAACAGCATTCCTATGAGTGTCGTATTTCTCATACATGTATATTAATGCCAGCTGCCTCTGAGGGCCTGGTGGAGTCTTTGTGCCTTAGGAGTTGAGGTAGGGGGGTTGAAATGGCAGAAAAACTGTCCATTGGTCAAGTATGGTGGTGGCACATACCTATAATCGTAGCACTCAGCAAGCTCAATAGTTCAAGCCCAGACTTGTCTATTACAGTAAGACCTGCTCTCAAATTTAAAAAAAAAAAAAAAAAGAGCTGGGTGCTGGTGGCTCATGCTTATAATCCTAGCTACTCAGTCAGCTGATATCTGAGGGTCATAGTTTGAAGGCAGCCCAGGCAAGAAAGTCTGATTTTTTTTTTTTTTTCTTTGTCACTCATGGGGCTTGAACACAGGGCCTGGCTGCTGTTCCTGAGCTTTTTTGCTCAAGCCCAAGCTCTACCAGTTTGAGCCACAGACCCACTTCTGGTTTTCTGGGGGTTAATTTGAAATGGAAGGCTCACCAATTTTTCTGCCTGGCTTTGAATTGAGATCCTCAGATCTCAGCCTCCTGAGTAGCTGAGATCACAGGTGTGCCAGGCTCTGTGAGACTCTTATCTCCAGTTAACCCCAAAAAGCTGGAAGTAGAGCTAGTGGTTGAAGTGATGATAATATACCAGCCTTAAGGGAACAAGATAAGAGACAGCACCCAGGCCCTGAGTTTAACCAAGTACTAGCAGGTTGAGTATGGGGGGGAGGGGGGAAAGAGGGGATGCGTGCACGCACTACTCCTATAGCTTAAACTCCAAGCCTGGGCACTGTCCCTGAGCTTCTTTTGCTCATGGCTAGTTCTCTACTGCTTGAGCCACAGTTCCACTTCTAGCTTTTTGGTTACTAAATAGATAAGAGTCTCATGGACTTTTCTGCCCAGGCTAGCTTCAAGCCCTCCTGAGTAGCTGGGATAACAGGTGTGAGCCACCTGTATTTTTTTGTTTTTTTGAAAAGTTTTTTATATGTTTACTCAGGCAATCGCATCCTGACACTTGGAGAAGTGCCAAAGGATCAGGTCTATGCCCTAAAGTTGAAGGGCATATCCATCTGCTTCTCCATGCTGAAGGCTGCTCTCAGTGGGAGTTACGTCAATTTTGGAGTCTTCCGTCTCTATGGAGATGATGCCCTGGATAACGCGCTACAGACCTTCATCAAGCTGCTCCTCTCTATCCCCCACAGTGACCTACTGGTGAGCCCTAAGCCTTGGTGGCAGCATTTCGCCCCTCATCATATTTGTTCACCTGAGACTATGATTAAACATTTTAAGAAACTACAACCTGGCCAGCACCAGTAGCTCACACCTTAGAGGCCTAGCTACTTAGGAGGTTGAGATCTGAGGTTCACAATTCAAAGCTAGCCCCAGGCAGACAAAAAAATCCATTTATCTCCAGTTAACCAGCAAAAAGCTCAAAGTGGATTTGTATTTCAAGTGATAGCACATCAGCTGTGAACAAAAAAAGCTGAGTGAGACCATGAAGTCTAGAGTTCAAGCCCCAGTGCTGGTGCATGACTCGGGTGGTAGAGTGCCCACCTAAGCAAGCAAGCAAGCATGATAGTAAATGCAAGGCCTTGAGGTCAAATCACAGTACCACCACCAAAAAAGAAGCTACAAGCTAACTTCTTTCTACTACAACTAAGTCATTTGTATTTGTAACTGAAAAGATTTTTTTTTTGCACAGTGTTGGGGTTTGAACTCGGAGCCTCATATATGCTAGGCATGTGGTCTACCACTTAGGCCGTACCTCCAGCCCTAAAAGAAATATTATACTGTTTATGGCCTTCCTCTTCTGCTGAAGCATGAAATGGCTAGGCTGACTTTCTTCTTCTGCTACAGGATTACCCCAAGCTCAGCCAGTCTTACTATTCACTACTGGAAGTCCTGACTCAGGACCATATGAACTTTATTGCAAGCCTGGAACCTCATGTCATCATGTATATTCTCTCTTCCATTTCTGAAGGACTTACTGCACTTGGTAAGCACCTAGCTTTGTACCACTTACCAGTGTCCAGAAGGATTACTGTTTGGGAGAATTGACCCTAACAACAGGATACAATATTCATGGTATTCTCATCCAGCAAGTACTGATCCTCTCCTGAGTACCAAGTACTGAAGATGTGGAAACTAACACATAAGTCTTACCCTTACAGTTTACATCTGGACAATGAAACATATGAATATTAACCTTTTATATGCCCTGATGGGGTAAAAACAGTACCACAGGAACTCTCAGGAAAATTATCTAAACTGGTTTTAGGGAGGTGGCATCAGGGAAAACTTGCCATCAAAGTGTGAGTGTAAAAACTGGACCGTTGTTCCAGTAAGCAGCAGCATCTTACAGGTGCTTGCCTACAGCAAGGAAGAACCAGGAAATCCAGATGGATGGTGCACTAATGTAGGAGAGAAAGGAGTGAAGTGAAGCTGAAGAGAGAAGCAGGAGTGAGTGTGAAAATCAGGCAGGGGGGCCTGATTTTTCACTGTGATAGGGTGTTGGAACTCTACCCTGAGGGTGTGAAGTTATGGGAAGGTTTTATACACTGGCCACCTAAGTGTTCCCATAGCAGCCCATTTTGTTCTTTTCAACCATTTTCACTTAAAGCTGCCTTCCAGAAATTTTAATATGTGTTTAGAAAGTATGATTTGTATTAAGCTGAGCAAAACAAAAATAAGATTAACTCAGCTGCAGAATATTTGGGATATGTTGCAAATGCACACCGAATGAGTTTTAGATTATCATGAATTATCCATACCTCTGTGTTACTTACATGACACATATTTAACTTCTATCTGGGGCTCAGCTGTGTAGAGTAGAATGCAATCAGGGTATGGAACTTTGCTCCAGGAGGCTGTTTTTATCTTCTAGAAAAACTCAGTCCTTTGGCCTTGCCTCTTCAGCATTCAGTACAAGCATAAGTGAGAATGTCCACACCCTCACCCCTAAGATGCTTTGGAGACAACAATACAATACACACTCATCCTAACAAACAAACCCAGTCATATTAAACTGGGTTTGTCGGAATTCCCAGTAACTGAGAGCATAGGCTTATACCTCATAGACTCCTAGTTTCTAATCACACTCCTGTTTATAGCAGTGATCTTAGATGAATCGTTCTCTCCAAACTGGTTGCCTGTTTGTCAAGTGAAATACATACCTCCTGGAGTTTTCAGGAGGATAAATAAAAGACAGTACCTAGAAAGTATTTAGTACAGAATCTGGCACAAATCAAACACTTGCTGAGTGCAAATGACTTACTATTCTTTTATAAAGCAGAAGAGACACATCCAAAGCACATTAAGCTGACAATTTAAGTATTTATTCGTATTAATTATTACCACACACTCAGTTTCAAAGTTAGAAATTGGGCCTTGCTGTGTAGTGAGTATCAGGTTAGCAGGTAACATTTTGAGCAGTGGCTGGGCTATATCCCGAGGTAACTAACTCTGGGTTCTCAGCCAAGGACAATCCCTGTTCTCCCAAAGTAGCCATCAGCACCTCAATATACCTGCTTTCCTACCTGCCTCTTGCCTCCAGACACCATGGTATGCACAGGCTGCTGCTCCTGCCTGGACCACATTGTGACATACCTCTTCAAGCAGCTGTCACGCAGCACCAAGAAGAGGACGACACCCTTGAACCAGGAGAGTGACCGTTTTCTGCATATCATGCAGCAGCATCCAGAGATGATCCAACAGGTAAGGAAGCTGACATTAAGAGGCAACACTAGTGTAATGGGGATTTTGAGGGTTTTTTTTGTTTTCTTGTAGTACTGAAGACAGCCTTGCAAATGCTAGAAGTGCCCTACCGCTGAGTTACATCCCCAGCCCTATGATGGATTTTTATTTTTCTGAATAATTACATGTAAAAACCTTTTTTCTTTTTTTCAATAGCAAACACTGAACTCATAGCCTTGACTTTGCTAGATAAGCACTCTACAATTTGAACCATTCCTCCGTCTATATTTTGTTTGTGTGTAATGAAATTTTTTAAGTAGTTTGCAGAAATATAGTTCTAAAATATATACTTTTTAATGGGTAGATTTATATTATCAGCCAGTCCTAAGGTGGCAGTGAAGTATTTCACAAGTTCACCACATTCACAAATGTCCAAAAACTGTCTGCCGAAGCCAGTATGTGGAAGTGATAGTGCAGGGTGGCTTTGCCTCCTGTAATTTTGTCTGCTTCACCCCATCCCATTTGTAAAGGTATCAAACTACACGAAAGAATAATAAAGAAAATAGCCTAAAAGCACTGTGGCTCAAATGGTAGAGCGCTAGCCTTGAGCTGAAGAGCTGAGGGACAGCGCCCAGGCCCAGAGTTCAGGCCCCACGACCCAACCCAAAAAAAAAAAAAAAATGTATTAAAAAGAAAATAGCCTAAAAGAAAAACTTACCTTGACATCAAAGACTAAAGCAAAGCTTCTCAAAGTACGTGAGTTACTGCATGCAGAAGACGCTTCAGCTTGAGGTGCTCCTTCATTTGGTATCTGTTGCCTCACTTCCGCCACACACGGTTGGTCACTGCCTCCTATTCTGTCATTTTTTTTTCAGATGCTGTCCACGGTGCTGAATATCATCATCTTTGAAGACTGTAGGAATCAATGGTCTATGTCCCGACCCCTACTTGGCTTAATACTACTTAATGAAAAGGTAAGAGAGCCAGCTCTCTGGTGTCAAGCCAGAGGCAACAATAGGCCCCCATGTGGCTGACACTTCCCAGACATTGTGAAGATGAAATACTTTGCAAATCAGGGAACAGGGCCCATTTACTCAGCAGTAGCATAAAGGTGACTTGTCATACAAGTGCTTGTCTGAATTAAGTATACATGCATTCACTATTCCATCCCTCCTTGAAGAACATTCTTCCATTCATAAATAACAGGCTAATTCACCTTCCTCTGCCTTAACTTACCTACTCTTTCATTCTTTGTCCCACAGTATTTTTCAGACCTAAGGAACAGTATCGTTAACAGCCAGCCACCAGAGAAGCAGCAGGCCATGCATCTGTGTTTTGAAAACCTGATGGAGGGCATTGAGCGGAATCTTCTAACAAAAAACAGAGACAGGTAAGTGTGTGGGGTGGCCAGCTAAGAAATCCTGGCCACAGGTGATTTTTCAAATCATTGAAGCAGGTGTGCCCCTTAATCTTTGTGCTCCCCTATTTTGAGGCCACCTAAAGCAGTGCTTTCCGATGGAAAAGCAAACCATATGTGTAATTACAGATTCCTTAGTAATCACAAGCAAAAATCATTTTAGTATTTTACATAGCACAGTTTATCTAAAATACTGTCAGTGTATAATTGATATTTAAAATGCAACTGTTTCACGAAAGGTTTTACTTTCTGCCCTCAGCTTGTGAGGGTTACTTCCTACCTTGATCGGCAAGATTCCTTTTGTGATGGTGTTAAGACCAACAGGGTCCTCAGAACCCCAGATATGACGCATCTCTAGCCTGCTGGGAAAATGCCTGGTAGAAATAGGGACAAAAGAAAGCCAGCTTTCTCTTACAGTCTTAAGACTGAGATTAAGTGAAACAAGCTTACGTTCCTACATTCCACCATCTACTATTTAAAAAGAAATTAGGCAAAGCCCTCTCACTTCTTCCTCCCCAACCCAAAATGGATTCTTTCTGCAGGTTCACCCAGAACCTGTCAGCATTCCGTCGAGAAGTCAACGACTCAATGAAGAATTCCACTTATGGCGTGAACAGCAACGACATGATGAGCTGACACCTCCTCGGACTCTACCTGTACAGAGCAGCATCCCTTTGGTCTGGCCCAGAGGGGCGGACAATTGCAAGGGAGATGGCCTGGCTAATCCTGGCTCCTTCCTCCAGGGATGTGGGGAAAATGGCAATGGTCAACTAGTTGCTTCCCCAGGGAATAGGGGTGTGTGTGCACTCACTAGGGGGCAGGGTGCTGCTGGTTCCTGGGGGCTGGGTGGGAAGGGTGGTGGGAGGAGATAGATGAGACACCTGAGACTCCAGCTCCCTTCTCCTGGGGCCACCCAAGGGGGAGAGCCCCCAGTGTCCTGCCACAACCTGCCTTGTATAAACATGTACATTTTTTCATAACATTTTGAACAGGTTTATATTGACTCAAGTTTAAAAACAAAGTGTGACTGAAAAAATTTTTACAGAGTCTAGTGCACCAATGCTGATGTGAGGGATTATGTATGGCGAGTGAAGAAAATGTGTATTCTGGTGGCCTGAAGCTTTACTGGACAAGGATGTGTGAAAGTGCAGAGATATATTTAGTGACACAGTGTAGACAGGCAAAAAGAAAAGTTCCAAATGTATATTTTTTCTTAATGCCCTTTCCTTGGCCCCCTCCAGCTCCCAAACAATCACTTCCTGTTGCTGTATTAACCCTTGTTATTAGGAACTCTAAGCCATGCCAGATCAACTGTCCCTCCCTGATAACTGCGGAAGTTGCCCTAGGTCCCCTGGCCTCTTGCCGTGACAACTCCAGCTGAAAGTGTTTGGTATTCTTATCTCCATCCTTTCTCCCACTTACCTATCATCATCCTCAGACAAATGCCTCTTGTCGTTAAAAGTTGGATTTTAATGTTTTAGGGATCTTGGTCTCTATAGAAGACCAGAGAGAAGCATTCTGCCAGTTGCTCTTGTTGAGCAATTTGGATGAGTCCACCCACCAGGGCCCAACTGCCTGTGGCCGTAACTGTGTCTTCCCTGGCCCTCGAGGCAGTGTGTATGGATGTGTGTGTGTGGATATTTATGTATGTACCCTGCACTCATGAATGTATGATCTGGAGGACGTTACCAAGGGGAGCAGTTCTTAATAACAAGGCCTATCTAGCATGAAGTATTTAACATTCTCCCTTGGAAAATATACATTTTTATAAAATGAAAACCATAAATGTTTTGAATATTAAAAAAAATTAACCTACAGAGGAAAATTAATGGAGAAAGCTATTTGCCTTGTACTTTTTCCACAACTGTTGCTGCTAGTTGTACACACCTCTAGTTCAGCTCTTGCCCGTGGAACACTCATCAATTAGGTTTTATTTTTTATTTCTCTCCCCTACCCCCAGAAACAAGCCTGTTAATTATTTTTTTCTCCTCTGGCGACTGTGTGGTGAATCCTTTCTTGCGTGATCTGGTTGCGGATAGACTTGTAAGGGTGTTTGCTGCATACAGTGTAAGCATTGTGACCGCCAATAAACTTCAATGGTTTCTACTGACTTGTTTTCAGCAATCATGCGTAGTATGTCCAGGGATGTGTATCATGTTAAACATAATGTTTGAAACATGCATTCTTAAAAACCAGTGCATAACAAGGGCCCCTGAACCTTATAAAATTAATTTGCTTCTTATTGGATAAAGTCTGGCTCAACTTGTTTTAAATTTAAGAAAGAGTACAACTGGTTCTGTTGATTTACAGATAGCATAATATGTATTATCCTCAGCTAAAAAGGTCCTTACTTGTTTCCAGAAATAACATGGCCACCTGCAGACAAGTAATACTTGAAGAAAGCGGTTTTGTTCATGTTCTGATGTCTGCTCTTCTAATGTGGGTTAGGCTTCATATCTTAGAATTTGGCAAATTCAAGGGTAATTGAAGTATCCCCTTGATATTTAACAGGCCAAATAGTTAACAGGGATCCTGTAATCCCTGTACTGTATAGTGCTAAAATGCACTAAGCTACAGTATATGTGCCTTACTACAGACTGATAGCTAGTGACCAGCCCAAGAGTGCCAGTCTAGTCTGCCTTACTTAAAAAGCACTTTTCTATGCTATTAAAGCATTCTGGGAACTGACAGGATTTTCTCAATCTTGAGCTGTTTCAAAGGCTGAACAGCAGTTTGATCTCAGCCAAACTATGTCTAAACCTACCAAAGTATAAAATGCGGAAGTTTCACTGTGAAAAATAGTTCTGGCAGTGCTCCAGAATTTTAATTCGCAAATGAATAAAACAAAAAACTTTCTCAGAGGTACTTGAAATCCTCTCTGCTCCAGCCATCTTGAGGTGCCAGTCAACTGGGCACAACCTCAGAACTCCCCTTCTGCAAAAATTTCAGAAGCAAGAAACTAAACAGAGATGGTGGTCTCCTTGGTGCAACCTGAACACTGTCCAGTCATGGCAAGGTGCATGTTGCAGTTAAGGTATTCCAAAACTCATTGAACTTTATAAAACTTCTTATTTTTACTCCTCCCTAGGTTGGAATTTTAAAAGTGTCCCCTAGAAAAGCTTTTGATCAAAAAACAATTACTAATTTCATGAACTATTCTAATAAATGTGAATAACAAAGCCAGATATCTTTGTTTCATCAGAAATCCTGGTGGAGGGGTTGGAGGGGTGGAACAGCAGCCAATACAAAGTCCCAGTCTCAGACAAAAAGAAATCCTGGTGGTCTTAAGCAGCCAAAACAAGTTTATTTAGGAGAGGCTAGGGTAGGGTATTTGCTAGGCACTGGGTTGAATGCAGTGATTACTGTACCTTACACTGAAACATCTAGAGTTTTTACTGCTGATTAAAATTTGGCAAAAAAAAAATTATACAAAATGTGGGTAAAGTTTGAAATATAAAATTTTAAATGTTTGAAAAACATTTTTTCTCACTACAGTATAAATCAATGGAAGAAAAGATCTGGCCCAGGGTGAAATGTCAGGTTTTTAAGCTTCAAGAAGTAATTAAGCCGGGCGCCGGTGGCTCACACCTGTAATCCTAGCTACTGAGGAGACTGAGATCTGAGGATCACGGTTCAAAGCCAGACCAGGCAGGAAAGTCCGTGAAACTCTTATCTCCAATAAACCACCAGCGGTAGAGCACTCACCTTGAGCTGAAGAGCGCAGGGACAGCGCCCAAGCCCAGAGGTCAAGCCCCACGACTGACAAACAGAAGTAATTAATTTGGGCAGAAATGTCATTTTAATGGCAAGTGGCAACCTAAGAAATAACAGAGTGGGCATCAGTGCCATGTCTCATGACTGTAATCCTAGCTACTCAGGAGGCTTAGATCTGAACGTTGAGGTTTGAAGCCAGTCCTGGCAGGAAAATCCATGAAATGCTTACCAATGCAATGCTTACCAATGAAATGCAAAGCCAGAAGTAAGTGCAAGAATATACAGAGGTATAGGAGTATATCTCAAGTGATAGAATGCCTACCTAGCAAGCTTGATACATCCAAATGCTATCTAAACACAAGAATAAAGATGTATTTAACAGCCATGATTTATTGGTTAAGTTGCTATGGTGTCTATAAGGGGTTTCTTCCCTTTGAATGGTCTTCTATATTAATGATTTATGGGTGGCTTAGATAACACTAAACACTATCTGGACTGTGACAGATATGTCTCAGAAACTAGGTCAAAGCATCTCACAAAAAGCAGAAAAAAATCTACAAGGCTGTTTATTTCCACTGTTCTATATAACAGGACAAACAGTACAAACTGAAAACTTAGTGAACTCGAGGCCCTTTTATCCAAGCCCTAGTACCACCAAAATAAATAAAAAGTATGCCAGTAGTTCCCACCTTCAATCCCAGGAGGCTGAGATCCAGAGGATCAGAGTTAAGGCTAACTCAGGACAGAAAAATCAGCCTGACTCCATCTCCAAAATCACCAGCAAAAAGTGGGGCTGGAGATACGGCCCAAGTGGTAGAGTGTCAGCCTAGCTACCATGAAACCCTGAATCCAAACCCCAGTACCACCAAAAGAAAAATAAGCAGTCACAGAGCATTTAGTATGCACCAGGACTTGAGTTCATCTCCAATGTTCCCCTTCTCTGCCAAAAGTTTTAAAAAGCTCAGTGACTGAGCAGTTGGTATACACTAGGCCTTGCTTTTATCGACAGTTTTCCCCTTCCCCACCAGAAGAAAAAGAAAAGCTGTAGAGAGTACTTACAAAAGTACACAGCATACTATTTATTGTTTCGTAGCTGTGAGGACAATTAATAATTCATTTAAGTCCCGCAGTATGTTCTAACTTGCCTCCTTACTAGGGACTCTCCTAACCTAAGTACTGGGTCATAAGGCACGTCAGGCATCAAGTGTAAGTACTACTGCTACTAAGAGGTGGAGGAATGTATTCTTGAAGTCACCAAACCCAAGGCACCGGTGGCTATTCAGGAACTATTCAGGAGGCTGAGATCTGAGGACCGCGGTTCAAAGCCTACCCAGGCAGGAAAGTCCACGAGCCTCCTACCTCCAAATAATCACTGGAAAACCAGAAGTGGTGCTAGGGCTCAAAGTAGAGCCTTGACTAAAAGGCGCTCAGAGACAGCGCCCAGACCCCAAGTTCAAGCCTCTCCCCAGCTCTTGAAAACTAATGAACGTGAGCCATCCAAAACTGGACAAGAGTGGAAATGAAACCACTTCTAAAGGTCATCATCTCATCAGACAACTGATGACCGGGTCTGGGCATGTGTCAAGAGATCACCTTAGAGCCCTAGGGCCAGGCCACACGCTGCGGCGCGACCCTTCCTCTTCCGACTCCGCTTTGCGCGCTCTGCACGCCCGCCTCTTTGCAGACCCTCCCTCCAGTGCCCCTCTTCGGGCCCCGGCCCCAGGGGTCTCAGGGCCTGCTTGGGGTCCCTTCCTATCCAACAACAGGAATGCGGCGCCTCTGCAGAGGAGGGCGCCCTTGTCCCCGGCCTCGGCCGAAAGAGCTGCAGACACCATCGCCGCGCCACGCCACGGGGGTCGTCGCGCCCAGAAGACCGCAGCTCCCGCCCGGAAATGGCTCCGCGTGGCCCACGTGCGTCTGAAGAAAGCGCCGCGCCTGCGCACCGAGGTCTGCCACAAGGTGTGATGCCGCCCCGCGCAGGCGCAGTCAGGACGCGTTCCTGAGGCGCAGGCGTTCTCGAGCCCCTGCTGTTGTCCGCTCGCTCATAGGCAATTTGAGGCTGTCCGCCCCGGCGACGTCCGGCAGCGCTGCCAGTGGAGGGCGCGCAAGGCCCGGGCACCGACGACCGCGGGGCCGCCGAGAAGCGGCCAGGGGAAGTGGAGCGCTCGACATCAGGACCCGGGCCTGACGCTAGTCCCGGACGTTCCCTTGGGCGCGCAGCGCGGTGACCGACCTTTGCCTAACCCATCTGCCCAAGGGTTCTTGTGACCGCGGCCAGGGCTGTGGAGAGAAAATGGGCGGGGGGGGGGGGGGGCACCGGGAGAGGCCGAGTCGGTCGGACTTTGCGACCCGCTGCGCTGGGCAGGCCGCGCGCCGGGCAGGCCCCAGGCGCCGGGCAGGTCCCTCGCTGGGCAGGCCGCGCGCCGGGCAGGCCGCAGGCGCCGGGCAGGTCCCTCGCTGGGCAGGCCGCGCGCCGGGCAGGCCGCAGGCGCCGGGCAGGTCCCGCGCCGGGCAGGCCGCAGGCGCCGGGCAGGCTGCGCGCTGGGCAGGCCGCAGGCGCCGGGCAGGTCCCGCGCCGGGCAGGCCGCAGGCGCCGGGCAGGCCCCAGGCGCCGGGCAGGTCCCGCGCCGGGCGGGCCCCAGGCGCCAGGCAGGTCCCGCGCCGGGCAGGCCGCAGGCGCCGGGCAGGCCGCAGGCGCCGGGCAGGCCGCGCGCCGGGCAGGCCGCACACTGGGCAGGCCTGAGTACAAGAACCCTGATGCAAGAGAATTGTGTGCAGCTCCAGGAAGGTGTCGACCTTCCTGCAGGAAAAAACTACCAGTCACACAAACTGGATACAGAGGAGGCAGTACCACATCCTTTTACTAAAGCGGCGTTTCCCAAATACCAAAACCAAAGACATGGAATTGAAAAAAAAAAAAATCCTTTTAGACTAAGCGCCTTTATGAATTTAGATGCAACAAGTCCTTGGGAACTATGAGCACGTGTAATTCAACAATATCAAAAAGGAGTAACAAAAGCATGATCAAGGAGGATTACTGCTAGGAATGCAAGGGTGGTTTTTATAAATGGATAAATAAATAAATTAGCTGAGCGCCGGCGGCTCCTGCCTGGATCATTGTTCAAAACCAGCCCGAGCAGAAAAGTTCCTGTGAGATTCTTTTATTGGGGTCCGGTCGTGGGGCCTGAACTCTGGGCCTGGGCGCTGCCCCTCAGCTCTTCAGCTCAAGGCTAGCGCTCTACCACTTGAGCCACAACGCCTCTTCCGGCTTTTTTCTTTTTGCTTATGTGGTGCTGAGGAATCAAACCCAGGGCCTCAGGCATGCAAGGCAAGCACTCTACCACTGAGCCACCTTCCCAGCCCCCCTGTGGGATTCTTATCTCCGGTTAACCACTC